ATGAGGATATTTCCAGAGCCATACATTCCTCCAAAACCCACTACACGGTGTTGATGGGAGACTTCAACGCAAAACTAGGCACAAGAGAAAGTGGTGAGCTGAAGGTAGGGAAATTTGGAGTAGGGCAACGGAACCGAAGGGGCCAGCAGCTGGCCGACTTTATGGAGAAAGAGGGACTCTTTATGATGAACTCTTTCTTCCAGAAGCGGCCCCACAGGAAGTGGACCTGGTCGAGCCCCGACGGTTCGACAAAAAATGAGATTGACTTCATTATGACGACCAGACGCCAACTGTTCAGTGATGTCTCAGTGATCGCAAGGGTGAAAACTGGCAGCGATCACCGAATGGTTAGAGGCACACTGAACCTAAACGTTAAGTTGGAGAGGTCTCGTCTAATGAAGTCAACGCTCCGTCCCCCTCGTGCTCTAATCCAGAATCCCGAAACCTTTCAGCTCGAGTTACGTAACCGCTTCCAGTGCCTAGAAGAGTGCAATGCAGTGGACGATATGAACGACAAGCTCGTGGAAACTGTCCATGCGGTCGGAGCTAAGTTCTGCAAGACCCGCCGCAGAAGAACACAAAAACTCTCCGATCACACTCTTAATCTCATGGCTGTTAGACGGGAGATGAGGCTGCAATCGTCAACAGATTTGACAGCATACAGGCAACTGAACAGACAGATCTCCAAATGCATGCGGCGAGACTTACGCAACTTTAATACTTCTCGTATTAAAGAAGCGATCGAGCGGAACCAGGGCTCCAAAGTCTTTGCCAGAGATCTGTCTGCCAGAAAGAGCCAACTGTCAAAGCTGAAGACTGAGTGTGGCAACATCGTTTCCGGGACACCTGAGATTTTGAGTGAGATTGAGAGGTTCTATGGGCAGCTGTACACATCATCGTTGGAGCCACACGCAAGTGTGAGTAACGATCCAAGAGCAAGTCTTATCCGACACTATTCCGATGATATCCCGGACGTCAGTCTGAGCGAGATTAGAATGGCTCTCCACCACCTTAAAAACGGCAAGGCCCCGGGCGAGGATGGAATTACAGCGGAGCTTCTGAAAGCGGGTGGAAAACCGGTAATTGAAGTCCTTCGGAAGCTCTTCAATTCCGTCCTCCATGGTGGCACTACTCGGAGGCGTGGAGCAGAAGCGCGGTGGTTTTGTTCTTTAAGAAAGGCGACAACGCTCTCTTGAAGAACTACAGACCGATTTCCCTTCTGAGTCGCGTCTACATGCTATTTTCGAGAGTCATTACGAATCGTCTCGCACGCAGACTCGACGACTTCCAGCCTCCCGAACAAGCCGGTTTCCGAAAAGGCTTCAGTACCATAGACCACATACATACCCTGCGGCAGATTGTACAGAAGACCGAAGAGTACAATCTGCCACTTTGCCTGGCATATGTGGACTATGAGAAAGCCTTTGATTCCGTCGAAATTTGGGCGGTGCTACAGTCCCTTCAGCGGTGCCAAGTTGACTGTCGGTACATCGAAGTGCTGAAGTGTTTGTACAGTAGGGCTACGATGGCTATCCGAGTACAGAACCAGAGTTCGAAACCTATCCAACTGCAGAGAGGTGTAAGACAGGGTGATGTTATATCCCCGAAACTCTTCACCGCTGCGTTGGAAGACGTTTTCAAGCTACTGGACTGGAAAGGATACGGTATTAACATCAATGGCGAGTACATCACTCACCTTCGATTTGCCGACGATATAGTCATTATGGCAGAATCGCTGGAGGACTTAAGCATTATGCTCAATAACCTCAATAGTGCCTCCCAACGGATAGGTCTTAAGATGAACATGGACAAAACAAAGATCATGTTTAATGCCCATGTCACACCTATGCCGGTAGTTGTTGGGAGCACTATGCTCGAAGTTGTTGACGAGTACGTTTACCTGGGACAAATAGTCCGACTAGGTAAGTCCAACTTCGACCGAGAGGTCAATCGACGGATTCAACTCGGCTGGGCAGCGTTCGGGAAATTACGACATATCTTTTCGTCAGGTATACCTCAATCTCTAAAAACTAGATTGTACAACCAGTGCGTGTTGCCAGTGATGACTTACGGATCTGAGACGTGGTCCTTCACTGCTGGCCGTATGAGGACGCTTAAGGTCGCTCAGCGAGCTATGGAGAGGGCTATGCTTGGAGTTTCTCTGCGTGATAGACTCAGAAATGAGGATATCCGCAGTAAAACCAGAGTGGTCGACATAGCCCAACGGATTAGTAAGCTGAAGTGGCAATGGGCCGGCCATATAGCTCGAAGAACCGATAACCGATGTGGAAGAAAGGTTCTCGAGTGGCAGCCTCGTACCGGTAGGCGTAGTGTAGGGCGACCCCCCACTAGATGGAGTGACGACCTGGTAAGACATGCAGGAAGTCGATGGATGCAGGTGGCTCAGGACCGTGCTTTGTGGCATTACTTGGGGGAGGCCTATGTTCAGCAGTGGACTTATGAAGGGCTGTAATGATGATGATGATGATGAACCGCCGGCAGATATAGCACCGTCTCACCCCAGTCTGTTGGTCAGTTGTAGAGCTTCCATCGGTTGTGCCCCTTTTCCATAATGACTTTCGCATGGTGTAGCAGCTTCTATTCTCTTATAATTTTCAAATAAATGATGTAGTATAATCACTGGCGTCCGACATTTGTACGCTTTTGCGTTTGCTTGCAGCTCCACGGGAATACCTCGGATGATACAAGAGATTGCATTTTCTCCTACGATATTGCATTTTTTAATAAAAGATAATTTATAGTGGAAATAATTAGTCATGGTTTCGGAATCTTTTTTGTTCTTGCCAACATCTCTTCGAGCCTGCTGACGAAATCAGTGGATCGTGGCAAGGCCATTTCCAGAGCACGTTTCTATCCTTCCCACTCGAGGTTATAATCATCTAAGTCATCATAACAACGTCGAGCTGAACCACGCAGATGAAGTTGCATTAAAATTGTTTCTCGGTTGCATCCCATCCATATATTTCACCAAGCTGATCGATCTTGTGCAACCAGCTGCTGACATTACTGGTATTATCTTCAGGTCGAAATTTGGGGACGACCTCAGCGTCGACATGACTCACTCGGCGTTTTTTTTCCGTAGCGGGCGTGTGGTCTTCTGAAGAAAAAAAATTCGACTTTCTTCGTTTTCTTCATTCTTCCGGGAACGTTTTCGGCAATATTTGCGTTTATTTTCACAAAGGCCGTGTATGTAGGGGCCCGACATTTTATATCCCAGAACAATTTTAGTTTCGATTGTTCACGAATTATGATCCCACTTCTGAAATGTGACAGAGAGTGGTTGTCGGTTTCCAAATAAAACTTTAATATTGTTTTACTCTAATATATAAGTGACAGAGTTTCTGCTTAAGGCAATTATGTAATTTACAATGAATCTAGTCGGCGTCTTGCTTTTGTTTTTATACCCGCGTTATGCGGTTTACAATTATTCATAAACGGAAATAGTTTAAAATCACCTACATTATTTATTACATCCGGAATCTTATTTTATAATGTACCTAATTACAAACTTTTATCGTACTTAAATATTTAATATACTATAAATCAAATAATAATGCATTTATTTAATCAAGTAATTTTGATTAAGTTAAATTTATTTAATCAAGTAATGTTTAATGATAAGACGGTTACGAGTAAGTAAATTTATAATTATGGCTGAGGACGGGAAACATTTGCTAACACTTGTTTCTAGTAAAAAGGGTCTCTCCGGTTTTCTACACTCACCATACGAAACACAGCAGCATTATAGCTACTATTTTACGCTGGTATTCTGTGAGAGTGTGGCCGTTCCTCGGTCGAGCCGACCCATTCGTGCTACAACTATACTACTAATATAACTGCAGCATGACTCTACCACGTATAAGATTTAGTCCGGGTTTGGGGCTCGTGGAGGAAGCGAGGCTTTCTTAATAGGGTAGCTCTCGCTGTAAAGCCTAACTTACTCTGTAGCTTCTGGCAGCCAGCATTACCGGCTGCCAAATTAAAAGATAAATCATATCTGCAGGCAGAGACTACAGACTTCTATTTGGCACGCACCTCTCTCGCCTCCTCCACATTAACATACATGCTCGTCGGTTAAAGGTCACAGCTCATTAGAGCCACCCGGCACCCGACCCTCACCGCTTCGCCTTGAGCGGTTTGTATTCTTCGTATGGACTTGTATGGGCCTGCTCGCCTTGCTCGCGAGGTGTCCACGCGCGGACTGCGAGTGGACCACTCCATGATAGCTCGCTGTTGGTATGCTTGCCTCGCGTGAAGCGCGAGCTGGCAACGCGCGGTTCACGCGAGTGCGATGCGGCGCTCTCCACCAACATTTCATTTCGAGCCTCTTTCTTTCGAATGTGTCGGACGCATTGTTGTTTGTTTTTAAAATGAACAAAGAAAACTTATAGAAGAAGTTCGGGAGTATAATTTATTGTATGATTTAAGGGTCACTCGTTGATCACGCGAGGTCCACTCGATGACCACGCGATGTTCACTGGTGACAACATGTACGACAATGTATGATAGATGTGCTGTAAGAATATCCACTATCCCGTATCATCCCATGGATGTCGTAAGAAACCACACAGAAAAACTGAACCAGGAGATGAGCAGCAGTATCTTCGCAATAACAGCTGAATAAAAAATAAAAACTGTGGTTGCCAACCAGCTTGCCAAGCGTGGAAGTTTTGGCAAATATCCCCCTTATAAACCTGTGCTCTGCAACAGACTTACTTTTTATGGGGTATAATAGTAGTGAATAGTTTAAAATAAAATATAAATATTGTTTGATGTTTTTAATATACATCAATATTTACAATGTTTCAAGCGTTTGTTTCTGCTTTACAGAAAGTTGAATTTCAATCAACTTTATATTTAGTACATATTTTCAACTCCAGTCTCGAGAATAGTAAAATTAAGTCTTCGTTTAATAATACACTGTTCTGTATCTTAAACAAAATTCCATATAAAAACTAAATTTATTTCGTACACGTTATTCAGTCGAAGCTCATACTCATGTCGGAGTTGTTGGTTGCATCTACGGCCTGTGCGGGCGTAGAGGGTGCTGCTAGAGACAGGTTCACTGTAGGGAACGGAAACTGCGGGATCTCCTCTTCTGTCAACATAAAAGTAAACTGTATTAAAGAAAAGTGTAAATAACTGTGTAAGTATTGACAAAAGGTGGATTTTGTTGTTACATGCGCAGCTACCTTGGTAACAGTATTCCTGTCCGCGAAATAACGTTCATTTATTACAAACGTACAGGGAAATGGTTAAAAAAGCGAACGAAAAGGATAAGCAAAATATTATAGGCCGTTGTATTGTAAATTAATAAATTATACTAAAATATGAAATGTAAATGTTTTAAATTCTTCGGTTTCATCTTAAGGTGGATGCGTCGAACCGTCCGCCCATACATTTTTTAACCAAAATATACACTAAACACAGACACTATTTCTTTAAAACTAATCATTTTATCACTTCTCTACAATGAAATGTGTACGCGTCTGACCTTTATAGGCAATAACTTACATTATATGCTGAGAAAAACAATAGTGAATTCCCGGAAAAATTTGACACTTCTTTAGTAGTGTGCGTGACTTTTAACAAGCAAACGAAAGGCGACGTTTAAACATTGGCACGCTAGATGGCATCCAAGTGATCTTAAATAATTCTGATAAATCAATATCTTAGGTTCAATAATTGGTAAATTTCCTTTCCAATCGTTAAAAAAACAGTATAAAATAACATAAAACTAATGATCTTAGACACCTATGTTTTTTGTAAACAATTTTATTACTTATTATCGTTGTGTGGCAACATATATACCAAAAGTCGTAGGTAAAGCGACGTTGCCGTCCTTCCTGACAACAAACTGATAAGAGTACTAACCGTAGACAGAGAAGTCTACGGTACTAACGTATTCCTGACCTTGAATAGACGAAACAAAAGCGTTGCCAAACTTACATACGTTCACTTGTTTGACTTGTTATAAAATATAATATTCTGATTTCGGTTGTCACGCGCTATGATTTGCGCGCGGAATTTCTTGTGTATTAACTTGAACATATTTTGTATGTTTTCATTGATTCGAATTGCAATATTTCTCTAGTATATATTTGAGACTATATTGTAATTTATTGTAGGTATAGTAATTAATTATTCTAAAAACGCAATTATGTTTTCGGTAGTATTATTAACAGCAGGCTGGCCCGTGATTTTTCTGAAATATCGTCACAATACTATATTATACCTACGTCACTACTACTATCGTACTATCTACCTATACTACTATCGTACGTGTACTAGTATACCTACGTCATACGTTTCAGTGTTTCATATATGAATGTGTTTGAATATGTTTTTGGTCTACAATAAATACAATTATTATAAATCGGTAAACTACCAAAGTAGTCACAAAATTAAACTTGCAAACATTTGCTAAATATGGTTTTGCCGGGTTACATTAAACACCCTTTACGCATTTTGCAAACAGTTTCAGACAGACACACATTATTAGTTTGTTATATTTTGTAGAGCTCAAGTTCACTCGTCACTACGTCATACTTTATGGTGTGTTCAGAAACAAATATAATACAGTTACATAAAATTTTTTTGTTCCGTGCTTTATTGTTTATAAATAAATAGCTTATTCTAATCCGAGTTATATTTTTCTTATTCGTCGGCCAATTCTACCAGGAATATAAAGATATTAGAGTTCTAGATCTTGTGTTCCGAACGCAACCCTATTCATATAGAATTGAAGGAAGATTTGTATATATTATATTGTATAGTACCTGGATGACCGAGCATTTCTCGGTATTTTTTTTTTGGAAATCGTGTGTATTGGAAGTTATATTTAGATTTAAAATACATACTGATAAAATATGAAGAATATTTTTGATCTTACCGACATAATAGAAAAAAAAAACTGAACTGGTTATTAAAATGAAAAATCATGAGTGCAATAAAATTTTCGTATTTTTAAAAAAATACTACAAAAAGGGCTCGAAACTTACAAAAGAAGGGAACTTGAAAAAAAAAGGGAAAAATGTTAATCCTAAGACAAGACGCGAACCAGTGAACTACGATTTCGCGACAGTGCGTTATCCACTTGAGCTATTACGATCATTATTATAGTGTTAAAATTTACCTTCTTATATTGTAGCAGTTTTTTATTGCCTGAAAACGGGGACATTTTATGAAAATCGTTGGAGCCGTTTCCGAGATTCCGATTTTATATATATATATATATATATATATATATATATATATATATATATATATATATATATATATATACAAGAATTGCTCGTAGGTATAGGATTTATATTTTTGTTTTACTAAAAGCTTTTTTTTTATAGAAGAGGGGGCAAACGAGCATGCGACTCACCTGATGTTAAGTGACTACCGCCGCCCATGATCAACCGCAACACCAGGGGAATTGCAGGTGCGTTGTCGGCCCTTTAGAAAGGAGTAAGCTCTTTTCTTGAAGGTCCCCAGGTCGTATCGGTCCGGAAAAATCGCCAGTGGTAAACTATTCCACAGAGAGATTGTACGCGGAAGAAAACTCCTTTTGAAACGTACTGTGGTGGACCGCCAAGCATCCAGATGGTGTGGATGGTATCGGGACGTTTGCCGCGTAGTGCGTTCACGAAATTTGGCGGCTGGAATTAATCCGAACAATTCCTCAGAGCACTCTCCATGGTATATGCGAAATAAAATGCAAAGAGATGCAACATTCTTCGCAGTGCCAGTGAATCGAGCCGATCGGAAAGCACTCGGTCGTCGACGATTCGAGCCGCTCTGCGCTGGATGCGGTCAAGTGGAAGGAGCTGGTACTGGGGAGCCCCAGCCCCGCCTGCGCCTTGTAAAATCGCAGGCGGTGTGCCGGCATGAAATACAGTCCCGCTCTGCTGAGAACCCCAAGCTTTTTAGAGGCCAATTTGGCCTTCTCTTCCAAATGACCACGAAACTGCACGTCACTCGATATGTCAACGCCGAGGATTCCGATACTGGCTGAGGCAACAAGGGGAGTGCCTTGAAACTGAGGAGATACGACAAAGGGGTTCTTTTTAGCGGTTAACGCTCAAACTTGTGTCTTCTGGGGGTTAAACTGGACTAGATTTAGTCGCACCCAATCCGAGACTCTGTTCAGCAAAGACTCGACTTCAGACACAAGTTTGTCCCGGTACTCGGCGACGTTTTCCCGAGAAATATTGGCACAGCCGGTATGAGAGGCATCACCAGTGCTCTCGTCACTGAATAGTAATGAAGGTTACCAGTGTGCAATATACCATTGATATGCAGAAGAAACAGCGTTGGTGATAGCACGCAGCGTTGTGGAACATCAGCATTAATAGGCTTGCAATCGGAGCTTGCACCGTCTACAACGACCTTGATGCTCCGATCTGCAAGAAAGCTGGTGATCCAATCGCACAATTTCTCGGGAAGCCCATAGGAAGGGAGCTTCGAAAGAAGCGCTTTGTGGCAAACCCGATCGAAGGCCTTCGCAATGTCCAAACTAACGGCCAATGCCTCCCCCCTTGGACTCTACTGCCTCCGCCCATCTATGAATTAGGTAGACCAGAAGATCACCAGCTGACCGACCATGGCGAAAACCGTATTGGCGGTCACTTATCAGCTGGTGATCCTCAAGGTACTTCATGAGCTGGCAGTTTACAATAGACTCCATTGTTTTGGAGAACAAGGAGGTGATGGCGATAGGCCGGTAGTTGGACGGGTCTGAGCGGTCGCCTTTTTTAGGGATCGGGTGGACGAAAGCCGTCTTCCATGATTTTGGGACTACGCCTAGGGAGTAGGAGTACCGGAAAAGACGCGTTAAAACCGGTGCCAACTCGACCCACTCGTCAGTCAGGCCCACTCGACTTGTGGATGTCCAGGGAGAGGAGTACTTTGCGAACCGAGTGCTGTATGAACTGCACTTCCGGCATGGAGCACACACACCGCGGGTGGTCAGCGGCGTACTCCCCCCGTCATCGAGAGTCGAGTTGGATGCAAAGAAAGAGCCTAGAAGATCGGCTTTCTCCTTTGCGGTATGGGCCAGTGAGACTTCCTCGCTGTGCAGAGATGGAAGAGATGGCTGACAGAAATTCCCCTGGACAGTCTTGGCGAGAGACCAGAATGCACGGGTTCCAGAAGGAAGGCGAACTAGTTTCTCGCCAATTCTGCCTATGTGCTCTGACTTTGCCTTGGCAATGACTCTTTTGAAGGACCTAGAGGCGGAATTATACTTCTTTTTTATAGCGCTGGTGTTTACATCCCGGGACGCTGATGCGTCAGCCCAGGCTCGGTAGCACTCCCGCATATAGCATGATGCTATTTTACAGGAGCGACCAAACCATGGCTGAGATTTGCCTCCAATGGGCACCACAGAGGAAGGAATAAAAAGTTCCATACCCTGAAGTACCACATCAGCGACAGAATCCGCAACAACGTTGGGATCGTCCGGCGAGAAGCAAACACGCCTCCAAGGGTAGGATGCAAAGAAAAACCGCATCCCATCCCAATTGGCTGACTTATAGTGCCAAACACGGCGGCAGCCTGCAGAATGCGACTGCGATTTCAGCGTGAGTGGCACCACACTCCGGACAAGACAATGGTCCGAGGAGCCTAAAGGGGCTTTGACGGAAATCTGATATCCGTCCGGGTGAGAGGTCAGCAGAAGGTCCAACAGGGAAGGTGCATGATCCTCCACATCTGGAATTCGCGTAGGCGAAGTAACCAGTTAATGATTTCTTACCCGCGTGAAAGAACATATAGCTGACGTGAAGCACCGACGCTCCGGGAAGTCTGCAGTCTGCGAACATGTTCAAGATCGTCCCCACCATTACATTCGTTTTGATAAACCACGAATTCTCGCAAAAGAACACCGATTCCTACCAAGGATGATACGCGAGGCTATTGAAATTAAAAAACATCCAAATTTCAATAGAGAAGATGGATGGGTGCTGCCACCTGCTTGGGATCCTATAATTAACAAAATTAAACCCAAACCTAAGCATACCACTGCAAGACTTCATGACTATAAGCTCGTTTTGCGTAAATCGGACCAAAAATTAATATTCAAAAACTGAAGGTAGCCGGACTAACTATGACATTGGGACGTCAAACATCTCAGTCCCCCCCGTGACCATGGTTGCTGTAAAGCACCCGAAACGTCGGGAATTAAAAATAAGTAAAAGTAGTGAAATAAACGCGATAAAATCCGTAAATTTAGTTTTATTCAAAGAAGTAACCAGTTGTTTCAGACCACATGCCAAGGCAAAATCATCTCCCCGCATGATCAGTTAAACGTGAACCAAGCCATTCGGCGTGATGGGCGTTAAAGTCGCCGAGGATCACGATCTCTGCGGAGGGGATCTGCTGTAGCAACGAATCTGTAACCATTTGGACGTGGTCGAAGAGTCGGTCTGTTTCGGCATTACCGCTATGGGACCTATAGAGGCACCCGTAGACGCGCGGATGATCGTCGCTGTCCACGCGTAACCAAAGGATGGACAGGTCCGAACCTTCAAGTCTGCCGAGGCGTCGAGAACATATGTCCTCTCTGACGTAAACGCAAACTCCAGCCCGAGGCACAAAGGAGTGTTCCAGTTTGTACCCCGGGTAGGAGAGATACGAGACATCAGCCGGAGAGGACACCTGCGTCTCGGTCAGGAAGAGCAGAGCCGGCCTCGCCGTCTCGAGATGGTAGTGGACGGCGTTTAGGTTAGAGTGAAGTCCCCTGATATTGCAGAAATTTACGGACAGCGTAGCAGGGGTCGCCTTGGTCTTGTTGCTCCGTTTGCCCCGAGCAGTTGTAGTCTTGAGCGGAATTTTGCCCCCCCCCCCCCCCCAGAATACGCGGGGCAGCCTGAGCACCCACGCTCAGAAGTGGAGAAACATGGTCGTGGATGCTCAGCGAGGGATTCTCCAGGGGTGCTGGTACCCTCCTGGGATAGTCTATCATTATTTAATTCCGCTACCATGTTGATGGGGAGGGGGGGGGGGGGTTTGGGCCTCCGGCCACCTGCACTCACCAGATGAAACGCGGAAGCAAAGCTTCCACTTCACGCCGGTATTCTGTGAGGTCGTGGGTTTGAGCCGGCCCATACGTGCAACAGCAAAGCTGCCGCGTGGCTCTAACACTGTTAAAAGCTTTTGTTGAGTGCTTCGAAATTAAGAAATATTATTTTCAAACTTCCTGGTTATTATCACAAAATAAATTCTGTTACAGATTTGTTGTTATCTCTTGTTTATGAATTATAGTTTCTTACGTGTTGGTTATGAAATGTCTAATTATTGTAATAATTGGTACTGTTACAAATCATTAGTGTTATTAGTTTTGAGTGAATAGGCATGTATCAGTATAATTATGTTGCTTCAAATAGGTACTTCTGTTTTGATAAAAAATTCAATAGTGTAATGTAATAAAATAAAACTGCGTTATATTGTAATCAATGTTGACATAATTTATTTCCCAAAGTTATAAATCAATTAAATAGTTTACACCAACAAATATAAATTTTATTTTTATAACAATCGTACATAGCGTTTTGTAGTTTTGCCTACCCAATCTGCATATACACAAAAATTAAAAACTTGTTTTTTTACATACACGCCATCTAGTGTTCTAGCTTCGTAAACGTAGGGATACGTCTGTGTGTGTAAACGACACTATATTCAATGACAGATGTTATAATCAAAATTAATGTCGAATTGGGTGGATTTTGAGGCAATGAATGACCCATTCCAATAAAATGTAATATCCGATAACCGCTAAGTCTACTCCTACGACTTAATAATTTTCCAATTACATAAAAATCCAAATAAACTAAAAATGTTGACTTCAGCGCCATCTTGCGGGAGAATGGCTGGGAACAGTCCGTAGGTTTCACCTTAAGCGAAAAGTTTACGCTCACCACTTCCTCGGTAAATATGCAAATGTCAACGTTTGAATATCCTGTGTTTGTAAAACGCGGCGACCAGTCACTTGACAAACAAATTCAAAGGTGTTAACGAACCGCGTCGTCCGGGTAGCGTGTATCTCAATTGTAACCGCGGCGTCCAGCCTCTTGACTACTAGGCTGCTACACTCAAAGGTGCTAACTACATCCAACATTTAGGACACATGTCGTTGCGAGCGTTCGTGCGGAAGGCGTATTTTTTGAAATGTTAATCTTTATCGCTGAAGATTTCACGTTGCATTGTATATCTAATTCGATTTTTTTAATTTATTTAATTTATTTATTATAATTTAATTTATATTATTTATTTTCATTTATTTCTTGCGCCCTCCTGACATTGACAGACTTTTTGTTTAAGAATTAACGCGCATGGTCTGTCCAGTTGGTTGCATACTCGAAGCTTTTACCGTACATCAAATCTTACAGTATTGGATACGAATATCTGATATTTAATATCTATACATTTGTTGATATTTTCATTTTAAAAGAAGTCAGTACTCCGTAAAATTAAAATTTCGAAACCGAATCACAAACGTCGTCATCTGCATTCAAATTCAATTTCAAATTCATTCAAAAAATACGTTTTAAAAATAGAACACAAAAATAAAATTTGAGCAATAGGCCAAAGTTCGTGTTATAATTATTTAAAATTAATTGAATTAAAATAACATTCTATTTAATACACAATACGATCTAAAATCGTTTATTTTGAAAACAGTGCAACACAACAAAATATTAATAAAATACTACTTAGACTGGATATTAAAAATTATGTGTTCTGTAATAAATCGTATGGTATACTAATAAGGATTAATATTAAAAATATTTGGCGTAAGCGTATCACCTTTTCGTTGTAGAGTAGTCGTAATACATCGTCGTAATACAGTAAAAACCATGAGCGCGATATATATTCTATACAGATTATCGCGCTCGCGGTTTGTTCGGTATCTGAATCAATGTATATATTTAGATATTTTATATTTCGTTTCGAGTAGATTTTAGATATTCTACAATGATTCATATCAACACGACACCGCTGGCTGTACCGCCGCGGCAGCGATATCGTAATATTGTAATATCTAATACATAGTTTGTCGTCCGATATATACAACAAGTAACATAATTAAAGCACTTTGAGAAAGTATGTTCAGAATCGTTTACTGAATCGATTCCTATCATTTTTAACATAGGTAATTTTTTTATCCAAAAAATAATTAAAACTACGTAAATTACAGTCACACTAAATGTGTACAGTCAAAATAAATAATCAGTGAATAAAAATGTTTAACTAAAAATTCAGTGTGTGTATTATGATTATAACATAATATATGCATGGCATGCCGACCTAATTAGTGCATGCCCATAAAGTATGACATTGACAGGTACTGTCTGTACTACTAAGAAATTCAGGATTTCATAGGCGTGATTTTACTGACAGCTGTCGAAGAGATCAAGCTATCTTTTATGAACTATAATTGGGGTGTCTGAGAGTGTGCGTTAATTACGTTACATTTTGTAGATATTGAATATTGTACTAATATATAGATATTGTATCCACTCACGTCTACTTTCGAAACTTACTCACGTGGTCTATATATTGCGTCGTTACACGAGTTAGTGTACAGGGCGTATGTCAGTTAGTGCCAGGGCAACTGCACCGTTTGGAGCGCGTATATTCATATCCGCGATCCATACGTCTATATTTCATCGCGTATATATCATACACCTCTCAACAAGAATGATCAGGGGTGCTACGGTAGCACGTCACGCGGGTCGCACGCCACTCACCTGTGAACGCGGAGTCCAGCCTATCCACGACGGCATCCAGCAGCGCGAGTGCGACCGCGTCGTCAGGGTCGCGTGCGAGTGCCGCGTGCAGCGCGTCAGCGGCGGCGCGCGCACGCCCCAGCAGCGCCAGGCACAGCCCGCGCGCCGTCAGGGAGGCCGCGCGAGCGGGTCGCAGCGCCAGCGCACGCTCGTGCCAACGCAATGCGGCCCGCGGCTCGCCCAGCGCGCGGCTCACGTGCCCCAGCCCGTCCAGCGTCGCGGCCCAGCGCGGGTGCAGCTGTACGCAACAATACCCCTTACATACTACATTTATAGTGTCGTGATATTATATACCAAGGAATGTTACATAGTAAATAAAGGTCTTGACCTATATACCCGGGAATGGAAAAATCGAAAAAATTAATCGATTACAATATTTAACGTAAAATAGTAATTTTGACAATATCTGTTATAAGCCAAACAATTCGTTTTAAAATTTTATTGTTAACACATCTTAGTTGAAATTAAACTACAAGCAATCTCCACTAAAATTACACTATTGTACTAATTCGTGCTCGTGCTCGTGTCGGTAACTGGTCGCGCTCGTCCCGCGCGGCGTCCAACTCCCGCAACCACACCGCCTCGTGCTCGTGATCGTGTCGGTACCTGGTCGCGCTCGTCCCGCATGGCGTCCAGCGCCAGCAGCCACAGCGCGCGCGCCTCCTCGTGCTCGTGTCGGTACCTGGTCGCGTTCGTCCCGCGCGGCGTCCAGCATCTACAGCCACTGCGCGCGCGCCTCCTCGTGCTCGTGTCGGTACCTGGTCGCGCTCGTCCCGCATGGCGTCCAGCATCTACAGCCACTGCGCGCGCGCCGCCTCGTGCTCGTGTCGGTACCTGGTCGCGTTCGTTTCGCGCGGCGTCCAGCACCTGCAGCCACAGCGCGCGCTCCGCCTCGTGCTCGTGTCGGTACCTGGTAGCGTTCATTTCGCGCGGCGTCCAGCACCTGCAGCCACAGCGCGCGCGCCTCCTCGTGCTCGTGTCGGTACCTGATCGCGTTCGTCCCGCGCGGCGTCCAGCACCTGCAGCCACAGCGCGCGCGCCTCCTCGTGCTCGTGTCGGTACCTGGTCGCGTTCGTTTCGCGCGGCGTCCAGCACCTGCAGCCACAGCGCGCGCGCCTCCTCGTGCTCGTGTCGGTACCTGATCGCGTTCGTCCCGCGCGGCATCCAGCACCTGCAGCCACAGCGCGCGCGCCTCCTCGTGCTCGTGTCGGTACCTGGTCGCGTTCGTTTCGCGCGGCGTCCAGCACCTGCAGCCACAGCGCGCGCGCCTCCTCGTGCTCGTGTCGGTACCTGATCGCGTTCGTCCCGCGCGGCGTCCAGCGCCCGCAGCCACAGCGCGCGCGCTGCCTCGTGTTCGCCGGCCGCGTACGCCGCCGCACCAGCCTCGTGAGCCACGTGCGGGTCGCACACCACGCGCGCGATGCGATCCCACCCGCTTACGTTCTCCACGTCCGTCTCGTCCGCTATCTGCTCCCCTGCCGACTGGGAACAATACTCAATTTTCTTACTCTCTTCTTCTTTATAGCCCACAAACAAGCAACTAACTAAACATATGTTTCTTCAACTGCAAAATTTCTAAAAACCACTACATGTGATCACAGGATCAGACGGTGTCGCTTTTTACAACGGGTCCCTAGCAGCGGCCTGACTTGGCAACATTAAACGGTATTATTTAACGGTATCCCTCGACATAAGATAGACAAGTTGCACTGGGATATAATAAGATTATCTAAGGTCTAAAGATAAGAAGAGCCAACGGTAATCCTCGAATTTAGCAACTTGCTTCATAACCAAGAGGGCAAAGTTCTGTCTCAATGAGCTGTCCGATAATTTGTGCACAATCCTCATTAATAACGCAGTCAAGATCAGAAGCGTGTCAATGAGGGTTGCATTCCTTTTAAACTCCGAATTACCAAATAAAAATTTACGCACCAACCTAAAACATCTCAATGAGGTGGAAGCGATTACATGAGAACATCTCAAGAGCCATGCATTCCTCCAGAACCCACTATACGGCGTTGATCTTCGAAGCAAAAGTAGACAAAAAAGAAACATTTAGAATACGGCAACGGATAGCAAAAAATCAAAAGCTAGCAAACTGCATGGCGAAAGAGGGACTCCCAAGAAGCAGGCCAACAAAAATAGTGCTAGTCCAAATACGAGGATTCGACAAAAAAAGATGTCCAGACGAACAAGGCTCCGTTAAGTCTTGGTGATCACTAGGGTAAAAACTAGGGATGGGCCGAATATGGATTTCACCGAATACGAATATTCGGCCGAACAATATTCGGCCGAACATTATTCGGCAGGATTACCTCGGTACCTAACCAATTTATGTCGCAACTTACCGTAAAGCGCGCGGCATTAGCGCCAGAGCCTTCCCCTCGCTCCCCCGCCACACCCGACAGTTATTGCATCATCCAGTACTGAGCAAATTGCCGGCACATGCTTATGTTTTGACTATTTTTGTGAGAAAAAAAGTATTCTTAGTGAAAATTGATAATTATGTGATGAAAATGAGTGGCAGGAGATCTACTATTTGGACCAATTTAAGAGAAACTGACGACTATAATGTAATGTTTCTTTGTTTGATTCCAAACAAAATTTTATTAAGCTTTCTATTTGCTATAATTGTGAATAAATCCACATTGCCTCAAAAATATTGATGTAGATTTAACCCATAAATAAATATACTTTCAACAGTAAATATATGAAAGACATGGCGTTACTCAATTCGTACATTTCCATACAGTGGATACTTTGAGTACCACTTTAACGAATATTCGGTGATTTAGCGGAATATTCGGCCGAATACGAATATTCGGTAAACCTGCCGAATATGCCGAATATCGAATATAAAACGAATATTCGGCCCACCTCTAGTAAAAACTGGTAGCGATTACTGAATTGTAAACCGCATTGAAACTTAATATTAAGTTGGAAGGTTTACTTCTAGAAGTGAACGTTCCGTGCCCTTCTTAGTTCTATATAAAGCTTTGAAAACTTTTGGCTAGAATTATAAAATATTCTTTTAATTTTTTAACCGGACACCCTTTTTACTGGAAACGAGGCATTCCATCTTAGTCCTCATGGGTGACAACGCATCTGCATTTTGATTCGTAATCGAGGATAGATGTAGATGTCTATGGGCCACAGCAATCACTTACCATCAGGTGGACTGTGTGTTAGTTTGTCACCCTATCCTGTAAAAAAATTACAGTGACTAAAAGATTAAAATACAGATCATATAAATATCAAGCTTGTAGAAATTGTTCATGCGGTCGTTCTAAGTTTCGCAAGACCTATCGCAGAAAAACCCGAAAGCTTTCCGCTTACACTCTTAATCACAGGGCTCTTAAGCTGCAGTCTTCAGGCAACTAAACAGATAGATCTCCAAATGCATGGGGCGAGATAATACATTTAAAGGAAAGAAAACCAATAATGTAGTTGCCTGTTAGAGTTTGCTTCGAAGCGATAAGGCCGCCTATTGTACCTTTAAATAATTTATTCTTTTTTGCAGTGTACAATATAGTATATTTCATTAATTATTATAGACTGAGGCACTTTATCATAGCCCTCACAGGCACTTGTATTCCCATGAACGCTACAATTCACACTTCCATCAAGTGGAATATTCACTTGTTTGTTACTTTAATGTACAAAAATTCAATTACAGAACGGACAAACAGTAACAGTAGCTGCCATCCAAATCAATGAGATACGCACTTAAAAGCTTTAAGAGTTTATGAAAAATTGTAAAGTAATCATAACACTTAACCTATGAAAAAAAAAAACATTTTAAATTAGTTTTAACTTAACGGTGGACTTAATCAATGGCATTTATCAAGATAGCATAATGTATTTCAATAATTACAATTAATATAATAGAATATTAATACCGTATTTTAAATAGCAAACACTAATGCTATATTTTTTGGTCCTTCAAGCCGGATTTCTATTAGCAACCTTTGATTACTATTGAAATATAGTTGAATACGTGAAACTGATCACAATGTCTTACCTCAGCATCATTATGCAACGTTGCAGCCCGCAACAAAAAGCGCTCACACATACTGACGTTATTTAGCAAAGAGCTCTCGACGCCCACGTACAATGGCGGTAGGTGACACCCCGCCATTAATTGAGTTGCCTGCAATGTTTTACAATATTTAATTTCATTAAGTATTTAACTGCTATTTAACCACTCGTGATATCCGTCAGTCTATGGACCTTTTGGCCAAAGACAATTTTTTAAATGAAGGTAAATATAACTTAGTCATTACCATGGTCTTATCCAAAAATAAAAATTATCAACAATTAAAATATCGAATTATTTGTATGAAGGTCACGTGAGCGCTAGAGAAATGATTGTAAGACGTTGTTGACAAATAAAATGTTTAATGAAATAGTACAGTAAAAATAGATTTTAACATTACACGAAATTTCCGATTCAATTTTATTTTTTTTATGAGGTTTAGGATCACTTATTCAGAATAAAATCACAAAATGCCGACAGATTCAGGTGGCGCTTCAAGCGCAATCTTGAAAAAACGTTTTTATCCGATATCTCGGTAACTATGCACTGTAAGGCAAAAGTTACATAAACCATTATTTTAGGAAATAAAATTTCGCATCTTTTGTTTCCAGTAAATTTTTTTGTAGAACTTACCTTTTACGATTTATGGCCCATTTAATGAACAGGTGGCGCTTCAAGCGCCATCTTGAAAAAACGTTTTCAGACGATATCTCGGAAACAATGCACGTTAAGGCAAAAGTTATACAAACAATTATTGTAGAAAATAAAATTTCGCATCTTTTGTTTCCAGCAAACTTTTTTGTAAAACTTACCGTTTACGATTTATGGCCCATTTAATGAACAGGTGGCGCTTCAAGCGCCATCTTGAAAAAAACGTTTTCAGCCGATATCTCGGAAACAATGCACTTTAAGGCAAAAGTTATACAAACAATTATTGTAGAAAATAAAATTTCGCATCTTTTGTTTCCAGCAAACTTTTTTGTAAATTTTACCGTTTACGATTTATGGCCCATTTAATGAACAGGTGGTGCTTCAAACGCCATCTTGAAAAAACGTTTTCAGCCGATATCTCGGAAACAATGCACTTTAAGGCAAAAGTTATACCAACAATTATTGTAGAAAATAAAATTTCGCGTCTTTTGTTTCCAACAAACTTTTTTTGTAAAACTTACCGTTTACGATTTATGGCCCATTTAATGAACAGGTGGCGCTTCAAGCGCCATCTTGAAAAAACGTTTTCAGCCGATATCTCGGAAACTATGCACTTTAAGGCAAAAGTTATACAAACCATTATTGTAGAAAATAAAATTTCGCATCTTTTGTTTCCAGTAAACTTTTTTTTAAACTTACCGTTTACGATTTATGGCCCATTTAATGGACCAGTTTTTCTATCGCGGCCAATAACTCTTGAAATATTAGATTAATCAATAAAATGCATTAATTTATTTTGTAAGATCAGTTTATTTTCCAAAACTTTTGTTTGAAATATTTTTTTTCTAACATTCATACTTTTTGAGTTATAGGACGTTTAATGTCACGCATAGCTGCCAGCGTCGCCTGCCGAGCTCGGCCGAAGCTCGGCAGGTGACGCGGCAGCTACTTTATGATTAAGAACCCTGATTTTATTGCTATTATTTCGGGGAATTCTAAATAAGACGTCATTATTGTTTACTAACTACGACTTACGGAGTCTCATTTTTGAAATTCGAGTTATAGAGTATAAATATCTATTATCAATATTTCGTAGGGAAATAACATTTTCTTTGAGTTACAAAGTCTAATAATTCGAGATACCGCGTATTTAGGGGTTCAGCGGAAGGGAATGGCAATTTTTTTCGACTTACTGAGGATTTCAACTTAACGAGATTCGAGTTATAGAGATTCCACTGAATATCATAACACGCATATAATTTTTTAAGTAGAGCGTGTCTATCAGCAACTTAATATTACCAAGTTTTTAAGTTTATATGTGAACTATATAATAATATAATTATTTTTAAATGTTATTTATAATCTTATCTATGGTTTCGAGTAAACTTAGTGATCATATACTCTTTTTTTGATTCTACTACATAATACTTTCAAAAATCACATGGGCATTATACTAATAATATGCAGCACGAATAGATGTAAAATATAATGAAAATAGATAATAATATTAGAAATATAAAATAACTAAATGATGCCGGGTTTTCTGTGGTAAGTAACGAGAACCGGAGACGCTTTTTCTGATAGTGAGATAATTCATCTTAGGCCTCAGGGGTGACAACGCATCGATATTTTTTTATATAGGATAGGGTGACAAACGAGCACACAGTCCACCTGATGGTAAGTGGATGCTGTGGCCCATAGACACCTATACTTATCCTCGATTAAGAATCAAAACGCAGATGCGCCGTCACCCCTGAGTACTAAGATGCAATGCCTCGTTTCCATTAAAAAAAGGGTCTCCCGATCTCTACACTCACCATACGGAACACAGCAGTATTAAGATGCTATTTTACGCTGGTATTCTGTGAGAGCGTGGTCCTTCCCCGGCCGAGCCGACCCATTCGTGGTGCAACCATAATATAGCTGCAGCGTGGCTCTACCGCGTATTAAATATTTCTCACTTGACAATATAGGCGTTGGTTCCAATGAGTCAAAGCACCTACTTACTACGCACCTACTAAAGTCATTGTAACTTCTATGATTATCATTATTAAAAAAAAACACAGCTCACCTTAAAATAGGCAGCCATGGCTTGATCGTGTTCTTTATCAGCGGCAAAACTGTGCCCATAGGCCAACCAAATGCACCCCGCACCAGGCTCTAAGCTTTTAGCTTTACTGAGATAGCGGCGAGCAAAATCACTTTTACCTGCAAATCAATTTAATACAATAATAATTTTCAGAACATTATAAAGGAGATTAGTGCAAATAAATGTGGGAAATACTTAAGTCCAGCAGTGGACTGTCATAGGCTGATGACAAACTAAAAGATTTACTAAAATTTTAATTCATGATTACAATGTTTTTTACAGTGGGATAACGTCCAATGTTTACTAACTTTTCCTCATAGACATTAGAAAGGTTAGGTTAAAGTTCGCCTGGATCGGATTACATTTGATTAGATGCAGAAAAACATAGAATACTATAATACGCAATAGAATGGCTGTCAACCTTATTTTGTACGACCATAGGCGTCGCCGGGAGCACACATACAAGCAAAAACGACGTCGTATTATCACTACTACAAACCCGATTCGCTGTGTTGACAGACAGATTTTAATACATATTTATTTGTAAATAGCGTGCAATTTTGCATTTTCTAAATAATTTGCATGGGAAATTTGGAAACGATTGTAACGTCAAAATACATCTCGTGTTGACGTTTATACTTGTGAATTGACGTGTTAGTGACATTTTAGTGGCTACGCGGGCTCCGCCCACTCCCCCGTTCTATTATGTATGTATTATAGTATTCTATGCAGAAAAATTATCTTGCGTTGCCTACATTGCTGCAGATTATTCGTTATTTAATTTACTACAATGGTGATTTCATCCAAAATATAAGATAGGATCTCAATAGATGGGATATATGAGATTGGAGAATCTAGCTAAATAAAGACTATTGACTCCTAACCAGAAAAATAAAAGCCTCGCCATGTTGCTGAAAATCAATAGAACTAATTCTGCTGGGAACAGTAACTTTATATGTCATCTGTTGATTGCTGTCAACGTTTGGGAGTTGAAAATGATGAAAAATATTCATAATCGCGAAATAAAACTTGTTCACATTCTTATTAAGTGTTTGTCGGAGAGAAAGTCTAAGGGGCTCTATTCCTCTAAATAACATCAGCGGCACAGTTGTGAACGTGACTGTTACGCACAGAACTGAACACGTACAAGAAAAATTATTGTAGAAATGAACTAAGCGAATGGGGCGCACTTAGAACAGTTTATTTTTCATTTTTTCTGCTCAGGATTTTATTTTTATTCACTTACCTATGAGGTAATAATAGCATCCAACCGCAAACCAAGATGTCCAAGATTGCGGATAAGCATCGACGAGAGCGTGTGCAAACGCAAATAGCTCGGCACTTTTCCTGAGTTCCACCAGGCAGGCCGCACGTATATCTGCACACGCCCAGGGCCCGGCAAGGTCTAATTCTTTTAAAGCTTCAGCCCAATGGCCAGCCGCCGCTAAGCGCCTTGCTTTCCGCGCTGCGCCTTCCAAACTACGAGATAACGCCGCCTCAACTGAGCTTAGCACCCCTTGTGAACCAGTCACGTTTCCGCCTGTATCTGTTCCTCCCTGGTGACAAAGTAACAGCAGGGTTAGCTAAGTAGGCTTTCTACAATCGTTAACGCTGATAGAAAATTGTAAGAGAATGGGATCGAAATATCTCAACATTAACTCACGCGACTTAGCGTTGATTTCATTCATTTTTATATTTAGCAATAATGAGTATGGAGAGTAAACTTGGCTAAGTCAGCAGATGTGAAAAAAAATCTGTCTATTTTTATTTTTATTGTATTACGTCCACGTAAAATGTTGGTGAACGTTTTAATTGTACCAATAACTGTTTTTAATTGTGATAATTGATAAGTCTGAAATACACTCTTAACCTTGTGTATTATCTCAACAAAGTTTAAAGATTTCCTCTCCGATTATCACTTTAACACACTTCAATTCATCACAAGGAACACTATTATCCTCTATTTTCATTAAAAATCTTTAAAAAAGCATAAATTCAAAATTTTTGTTGTGTTGTTGAAAAAATGTTACTATTTTAATCAAACACGAAATAAAGTAACATACTTATCTAAAACTGGCGGCTCGCTCTGGTTTGGCCCGGGTTAAATAGTTATCTATTAATAGTTAAATAAAATCCGGAGTATATATGCTAAGTTTCAAGTCAATCAGGCGTATAGGTTTGAAGATCTCGTGATAGAATGAGTGAATATTTCACTTAAATATATATCCCTTTAACAAAGTGCGCACGTAAATAATAACAGCTTTTGTTTAGTCACATTAAGCAGAGAGGTCTGGAAGCTGATGAAATAGAGAAGAACGACATGTTTTTGTAACATTTATTTGATTCGTTAATAAGAAATGTTACCTACAGTGTTGTTTGTGGAGGATAGTGATGATCGAAGTGGCGCGTATCTCAGTAGACGATCCCTGTATGCGGCTCGCAGAAAAGCTGCCTCCGCAGCACTCAGCTGACTGTTTATTGGCAATGATTCTATTAAATCAGTTTCTGTAAGGAAAATCATAATTTTATGACCGAGCATTAGGTAAGTTAGTTTTTGTTAAGAATGTTAGTTTTATGTATTATTAAAGGTAAAAGTTTTCGTTTAGCAAGCCTATTTGTTAACTTTGTTGACATTAAAATTATAATCACTTTGTAGTTGAAGTTACCCACCCCTGAGAGGGTTTTAGGGCATGGAAGAGTTTGCCGCGCTGCCCCAATGCATGTTGTCGGACTTTATTTCTCAGACATGCAGGTTTCCTCACGATGTTTTCCTACACGTCGAGCACGTAGTAAATCAGTACTTAAAATTTCAATTAACAATTTCATTGGTACCTGTGGGGATCGATCCCGGGTTGCTCGCGTGAAATTTACAGCGAGCGCTCAGCTTCGTAGTTATTAGATGATGTTAGTATTTAATTGTGTAAGTGATGATTACCTTTGAAAGACGGCTCACTTTGGAGTATATTGCGTATTGTTTGTTTAACGAGCAGTGGTAGCTCCTAAAAAAGCTATATATGTCATAGGATAATTATCTAATTACATATATTAACCGTATTTTCCGCAAAAATCTAGGGATATAGCGAAAACACGGATAATTAGACAACGGCTATGACATTTCTCAATCACGTGCACGTGTTCTTTACAATTTTGCTGTACCGACGTACGACGGCGCCGCCGTCATTATTTTGTAGTCAATAAAGTTAGCGAATTGGCTGTTATCTAAACGAAAGCTATCAAACCAAAAAAATAAACAATATTTTTATTTTCAGTATATAAGAACGAATATAGGATAATAAGCGGTGTTTTGGCATGTGGCGGTGGTGTAAGAGAATCCAGCATCCAATTATGTTTACTTGAATACATCACAAATAGATTTTCAGGTATTACTTACAAAACTTAATTCATGAATAAATAGATTGCATTTCGAGAATAAAACTAAAGCAAAGTCAAGTAACTATGGCAGTTGTAATGTACCAGAATAATCATCATCAGCCTACGGCAGTCCATTACTGGATTAGGCCTCTCCCAAAGCGCGCCACGTATCTGGATTTTCGGCAACACGCATCCAAACCAGCCACCTTGCGCAGATCGTCGCTCCATCTGGTCAGAGGGCGTCCTACACTACGTTTGCCTAGACGTGTCTCCGATCCATAACACGTCTGCTAAACCGGTTGTCACTTCTGCGGCAGATATGGCCAGTCACTTCAGTTTACAAACACGGAAGGCTATGTCAGTAATCTTGGTTCTCCAGCGGATTTCTTCATTTCAAATTTTATCAACCAGACAAACTCCGAGCATAGCTCTTTCCATTGTTCGTTGAGCGAATTTGAGCTTGTGATCTGAATGGGCACTACAGAGGATGGAATAAAAAGTTTCATACCCTGAAGTACCACATCAGAAACAGAATCAGCAACAACGCTGGGATCGTCTGGCGAGAAGCAAAGCAAAGCCTTTAAGAGCTCTGTTGTAACTCCATCTTCTCCAGGGACTTTTTCATTTTTAAGTTGACCGATCGCCTGCTCAATCTCCCCAAGGCAGATGTCTGGCAGCTCGTCGGTATAGTGTTGGGTCAGCGTGGCTTTGGGAACGTCGTATTTAGTCAGATTGTGGCTTATGTGAGGCTTTTAATTCAGCGCTCGTACCCTTAACCAAAAAGTTGGCTATGGGTACTTTCCATGTTGTGTTTATACCGACCAATAAAAATACTAATGCGTCAGTAACTTCATCGGAATTATAGGATATAAAATCGAACCCGTAATCGACACATCCGTAAAGCCTTTGGCTACTAGCATGGTATTCCGTCAATTGCATAATTTACATTTCATCCATGACCAACGTACAATAATTTTATTATCAGGGTTACTCTCCGCTCTCAATTTTAATGCCGTCAGCGCTACTTGAGTAACCCTGGTCGGCCATCGATGGTACTGTACCACTTAGTCAATGTCCGTGGTGCAGGTAAACATGTTCCAAAAGTTTTACGTACATAGCGATAGGATTTTGGTGAGTAATAATTAAGTGTTAGGGCAAAAGATCTGAACTGTGGGGAATACTTAGTTCTGGGCAGTTTTCCAGTCTTACTTTTAAGTGATTGTGTCTTTAAGAGTTCACTTTCTTCAATTCCTATCTTTTCTAAAAAAAGGTGTACTTTGGTAACAGCTATTGGAACTCGTCGCCGAGTAAACTAGGTGTGCTGAGTTTGGGCTCGTTTTGTTAGTTATGATGAGTCCTTATCTCCGGACTACCTATAGAATGAAGTAGGTGGCGCTATTATAATTTTACTCGAAAGAAAATATAATATCTATGTATCTAATATATATATATATATTAAATTTACTTATAATTTAAACCGAATTTGTAGTTTAAATTATAATATTAAATAAATCATTTGCCGTAAAGTATTTGTATTTTATATTTCATTTCATTTTAGGGTTTCACTTCTGTCGCGTGTTAGCTGCACACATATTTTTTTATAATATTTACTTTTGGGACTACGTCAGGTCCACTATCTTCGGGACTTCTTCTCGAAAAACGAATACATCAGAAATCTTTCGCGAGGAAGTTGACTAGCATTTGCCCCATGTGATTTCTGCTAAAACCGTGGGGTTCCAAAATCGATTCGACACCCGTGTGCTTAACCACCTTAGCATTAAAATATTTCATAATAACATTGTAATAGGCCTTAGTGGTGTTACATAAGGCTCTAGAAATATCTTCATTAAAAATTTCAACTTTATCATCCAAATGTGCCTAGGTATGGGCATAAACTTGTACGATCTTCAGAAAGTATCTCTTTGATAACTTCAGTACAACGTATGCTAACCTGGAGATCACACTGGAGATTTCTATAATGTTGTTAGTGAGGATCCTGTGAACGACGAAATCTACTCCGCCTTAGGAGAGGCCATCTCCCTCTCGAAAGTAGAGCAGTTGGACAGATTGCAGGGTAATTGTGTCCTTCTCTTCTCTTCGCAATTCACTTAACCGTACAATATGCCATCTTAAATTTTCCAGCGCAGCTTCCAATTCGTAAATGTTTCCGTCTCGCCGCAGAGTCCGTACATTATACGTCGCCAAGTCCAATTTTTGGTGGTAACCTGTCCTCTCCCGGGAATTCTTTGCACCCACTGATCCAACGTTGCCATGACCGCCACCGCGGCCAGGAATAATGTGACAACCGAGAGCTGGGGGCAGTATTTTTGTGGTGCTATACATGGGAGGATTTGCCCTTAATCGCCACGCTGGGCGATTGCAATACCAGAAACATCGCAACTGTAACGCTGCCGCCCATCACAGCCCTGGGCATTTTTAGTCTGACGATGACTTCCGGTAGATGGAGGCATAACCATCCCAGGTTATACCTCGATTCACCGGAAGCCTAATGGTTTTTATCGCAAATTACTCTGTCGGCTTGCACGACATCCACGGTATAAGAGGGAATGGCAGTAATTTAGGCAGCTGCCACACAGCCAAATATAACCCAATATTTCAACAGAACAATATAACCCTATATTTCTATCGCAATTTGCCCAGATTAAACATAAAGTATATATTTATTATAATATACCTGTACATAAAACTCAACAAACCGACAACACATGAGAAGCTCCATCCGTCTTGATGGAGACGATCTTATAAGTTGTGCAAGAAGTGGATGTATGTATGTACCCCAGGGCTAGACATATATTCAGCAGTTGACTTGTGAAGGGCTGTAACGATGTTAATCTTAATATATCTAATATACTTGCGCTAATAAATTCTAAAAAAAGTTGTACCTTGTCTTGGAGTAAGTGCATGCTGCTCCAGCAGTAAATCCAGCGCTTCATAGCAAGCGCTATCAGCTCGTAAAGCTGTTGTAAGGGCTTCGGCTGCTGCCTCTCGCCGCTCTAATGCTGCAAGGGCTCGAGCTTGCCATACCAATACTCCAGCTAGGGCTCTCTGGTTTTAACAAAATCGTATTTTTTAACAGTAATATTTCTTCACCACAATTAAGTTACAGGTATAATACCCGTATTACAGGTCAAGAGGACTTAACCTCTATGAGGAATGTTATCAGTGTTTAAACAAAGACAAATTAAGGCTGACTCACACATTTGTCATATGGACGCCACACACGGTCAGTTAAACTGATCATTCCAACTGATCAGTTCAAACTAAAACTGTTGATTTTTTTTAAATAGTGGATTTTCTACATATTGATCATTATAAATATATTAATATCGGAGTTTTACATATACCTAAGTTTATTCATAGATATATCGAAAATCTGATATTTTAAAAACTTGTTTTGTTGTTATTGTTGGCCAATAGGTAACAAAATAGCTTTTTATTGTCTATTAAATAACTTTGGCTGGGGCCGCATCTGCGTGTATCGACACAAAGCGACACGATATACGCAGATGTGACCGGCTATCGTCGCGAACACTCGGGCTGTGTGTGCGTATATGGGTGTTATCGCGCGGGTGGCGGTACATCAAAGAGTTTTAGCGCCATTGGGCAATGATAGTTAGCGAGCAGTTCACTCCGTTTGCTAATTGCGATTTTAAGAGCTGATTTCCTATATGCTAGGCGGTTGATATTGGTGGAGGGTAATATTTTCAAATTTTGTCCAGATATTTTGGTCTTCTGATCTGGCACTCTTAAGTAAGATCGTGAGTAGTTTATTGTTTTCTTGGTGTAATTTTGTGACTGCAATAACTGAACGTTTCAGGGCATTTTTAAATCTTGAATTTTCTCAATACAGTCCACTATACTCCCAATTCCAAGCCGCCACAATACTATTCTGTTGTGTTGCCTTGCTGCTTGGCGGCAGATATTATGGTTAAGAGGATGGTACCAGGCAAGCAGGCTGTTAGACAGCAAAGGAGTACTACCACAAAGTCTACATTCTTCTTTCTTCTTCTTTCTGCTGTTTTCTGCCTTCTTCTTTTTCAGTCCGTTAAAGTGATTGGAAATGAGCCTTTCCCAGCATAGGAAGGATTCGCCTTCATTTTGAAGACGTTGACTTCCGCCGGTCTGAATATTCTATGTCTGACAAAACGATAAGTGATACTGCTATCTATCTAAAGCGATAAAATTTTACTAAAAGCTTCAATGCAGCATCCATATATCTAATCTAGCAACGCACCAGCGATGAAACAGCTAGATTGGTTTATTTTAGCTAAATTCATAGAATATTATTGTAGTGTTTTGCTATGGGGAAACGCAACTGACACTGAAATTATATTTACTTTGCAGAAAATGGGGGTTTAAGAGTAGTCTACGTTTTAATACTTACGAGTTTTAAAGACAAAAACTTTAAGAAATTAATATATTAATTAACTTTGGCCACTCAATATATTTACGAAAATGTTATGTTTACTTTAAAAATATATAAGTATATCACTTTGTTTTTGAAATTATCATTCCGTTAATACTATACTCCTTATTACCACACTAAGCGTTGAGCGCTCGCCAATCTACTTGCCAAGCGTCGTGATTACCATGTAGAGCCATGCTATATTATGGTTGTAGCACAAAAGGGTCAGCTTGACTGTGGAAGACCTCGCTCTCACAGAATACCAGCGTAAAATAGCAGCTTAATGCGTCTGTGTTTCGTATGGTGATTGTAGAGAACCGGAGACCCGTTTCACTGCAATCGAGGCATTCCACCTTAGTCCTCAGGGGTGACAACGGATCTGCATTTAGATTCTTAATCGAGGATGGATGTAGATGTCTATGGGCCACAGCATCCACTAAGCATCAGGTGGACTGTGAGCTTATTTGTCACCCTTATTCTATATAAAAAAAGTAGACCAGCTATCGGCGCGGGACACGATCATACACAATTGCACTTTCTATCCCCTCTTTTTTACACTTCGACTGAAATTCCACACGACCCGACAGAGATCATAAAGTAGGACTAACGGCTTTAAGTGTTTTGCGAGGCACGGGGGTGAAACACCGCCAACTTCCTGGCTCCAGGCTGCTAACGCAAATTTCTTGACTGGAGAATCCAATAACCGATTTTGGTGTGACCCGAGACCACATGACCAGCAGCTATGCTTACGACCAGTAAGAACAACGAGGTAGTCAAAAGCAGTTTACATACAATATAAACAATAACGTAACTAATTAAAATAGGACATAAGTTATATTTAATAAATAAAGATGTATGTGTATAAATATATGCCTATTTTCAACCGATTAAAAAAAAATTGAGGTTCTCAATTCGACTGTATTTTTTTTGTGTGTTATTTCTTTCGGTCATGATTCTTTTTTTTATTTGAAAGTTGGTGCTTCTCATGTGGTCTCATATAAATTGGATCAAGATCTGACCAGTAGTTTTTGAGTTATCTTTAATAATTCGTATTCAATTGACTTTGACTGCATTGATGATGTTCTCATTTTATTTCTATTGAAGTCGGGAGTAAAAAAATTACCATTTGTACATTATTATTACATTAACTTACATTGTGTGTTTGATCATGACTACGTGGCTCTAGTAACTGCGTATCACATTCTTCTATTAAGGATAATGCAGTTGCAGGCTCCTTTGCCGCGATGTAGGCTCGCAGGGCAACACCCAAGCATAGAAGATGCCTCCTGTTATAACAAACAACTAGTTATGTACTGGTTCACTACTAATGTTTAAGTAATGTAGTAACAGCAACAAGGTCGAAAGGAGTTTAAATAACTTCTCTAAATGTCTGTCATCATCATTAACATCATTACCGTCCTTCACAAGTCCACTGCTGAACATAGGCCCCCCAAGGAATACCACAAAGCACCGTCCTGAGCCACCTGCATCCATCAACTTCCTGCATGTCTTAAGTGGGACACTCAATAAGTTTTGAGATATACAAAAAGTATTCTAGATACTATTAATATTTATTTTACATTTCTTCAAAATATTCTCCATCATGCTGTATACAAAGTTCCAATCGCCTAAACCAACTCTGAAAACACTTTTGCCAGTCTTGATCTGACAGGTAAGAAATCGCTTCTTCGACGGCTTCCTCGGCGCTTGAAAAAAACTTGCCTTTTATTTTTTCTTTGACTCTTGGGAACAAAAAGAAATCACAAGGAGCTAAGTCAGGGCTGTAGATTCCTCAGCCAGATTCCTCAGTCAGATTCCTCAATAAATGCTTTTGTTCTAAGAGAGGTATGTGAAGAGGCGTTATCGTGATGCAGCATGATGACCTGAAGCCCGGTCTTTGGTTTCCTCTCCCGCACAGCTTGAAAAGCTTTGGGTAATGCAACTGTAGCATACCATTCAGAGTTGACTGACCTACAATTTTCCAGCATTGACGTCGACAAATGTCCGCGAAAAAAACTAGCCACCATTTTTTTGCCGACGTTGCGAGGTCTTTGCAGTTTTGTCAGTAACTTGTCCTTCTGAGTAGACCCATACCGATGACATCGACAACAAAGCTTCCTCACTCCAAGATTTTGATGTAAGATGGTATGAATGCTCCCCGAACTAAGGCCTACGATCTTTTCGATGTCCGTATATGTGATTCGCGCATCTCCTCGCACCAACATTTCAGTAGTCCATACATTGTCTGCCATTACTGCTGTTTGCGGGGTCCCGGTTCTTTGGTCACCTTTAAGGTAAAAATTTTACCCCTTTTGCATTCAGCAAACCACCTTAAAATTATTGCGCGTGATGGAGCTGAGTCCCCTAATGCTGATTGTAACCGTTGTAAACTATATTGTTCGGTTAAACCATAATAGATCATAGCGCGCAAATGTTCACGGTTAAGATCCATCGTTTTAAATGAAAGCGCGGGAAGCGTTGCAGGAAAATTAATAAAACTTTTTTTTTAATACTGAGCAATTGGCTTACGAAGTTCTATTTTTAAATAAATTTGCTTTTTAGAAACATATAACACGGGTGCGTTCCATTTTTAAATTTCGAGCATCTCAAATTATTAACTTATTGAGTGACCTACGTACCAGGTTGTCATTTCATCTAGTAGCGGGACATCCTACACTTCGCCTAACGGTACGAGGCTGCCTCTCAAGAATCTTTTTTCCTCATCAGTTGTCGGTTCTTTGAGCTATATGGCCGGCCCATTGCCACTTCAGCTCACAAACCGTTGGGCGATGTCGGTCACTATAGTTCTACTCCGGATATCCTCATTCCTAAGTTTATCACGCGGAGAAACCCCGAGCATAGCTGTCTCCATAGCTCGCTCAGCGACTTTGAGCATCCTCATACGGCAACATGCACTGGTTGTACCGTCTCATTTTCAGGTTTTGAGATATAGCTGACGAGAAGATGTGTCGTAATTTACCCACAGCTGCCCATCCGAGTTGAATCCGTCGCTTGACCTCTCGGTCGAAGTAGGTCTCAATCGAAGTTGGCCTCGATCGAAGTTGGTCTCAATCGAAGTTGGCCAAATGTCTGTACCTGTAAGAAATGCATCAAGCTAACTAACAAAATAGTTCCAAGGGTGAATAACCCCCCCCGAACGGGTTCCCGCCTTGTCGCGGCGGGGGGGCTTAGTAGCCGTGGCTTGGTCTCCCACGGTGAACAAAGAGGAACTCACGTGGCTGGCCTCCGAGTGGGCTTGGGGAGCCCACTTCGGATGTGTGTTGGTGGACTGCAGCGAGTGGGGACTCCGCACCCTCTACCGCTGCAGCCGAGGTGGAGTCGCGGAGGAAGTATTGGTATGGCGATGCGCCACTCGCCCTATCCTCCGCGACTCAAACGGGGCCGCACCGTTGATGCGGTGGTGATGGGGCTGCGGGGGAAGAGGATTGTCGGTATTGCGAGGCGCCGCTCTCCCTATCCTCCGCAGCCGAATCTTGGTTGGCGGCGGAGCCATAGACCAGATCCGCCGCTGGGGTCGGGAAGGCTAGTGCTTCTAAGTGCTCGTTTTTCCTGGCCCCATGGCCTTCGCGCATCGGACGCGGGGGCGTCTGTTGCGCAGATGCAATTGGAGGCCGTGGAGTAAGGCGTGCCATGTGTTCTGGTGCGCCTTACTTGGGAAGGAGAACGGGGAGGAATATTCCTCTCCCGAGGAGATGCTGCCATGGGGCGGCAGTCGCTGGTGGGGCCGCGGAGGTGTGCGAAAGCGTTCCCGTAGCCCTGCCAATATGCGGCGAGGGTGGAACACCATGGGGTTTTAGTCGGTGCGAGTCCGACATAACCCGTCCTTGCCCCCGCGAGGCGGGTATGCATAGGCATTTCCCCATGTTAAAAAAAAAGGGTGAATAATTAACCATGATGGGATGCAGTATAAACAGGGTGAGGGAATCATCTCTGCAATCACTAATCACAGGTAATTACGGGGAATTCTTCCGAGAAATTAATGCAGACTGGATATGCATTCTTTGCAAGTTCAAAAGTGGATCTATAAGGCTGTTAATGATGGTTCAAATACATGTACTACTAACAGAACCTTTATTTGGACTGCCTAAAAAAGTATGACTGCAGTGTTTGCCAAGTTAGCATTGCCAACCCACTTGCCAAAGTGGCAACAATGGCAAATACGCCCTCTATGAGGCAATTAATGAGGGAGGCTTACGTTCAGCAGTGAACTTTTATAGGCTGTGATGGTAACGGTATAACGGTATTCCCTTTCCATTAACTGTTACTACATTACTTTAACATGCAGTGTATGAGTGACAACGTTTAATATGAGGTAAGACCTATAAAATTGCCGTTATTTAAGAAAAAAATTAGCAATTTTTTCCATATTTTATTTTTATTTTTATTTGTCGAACTAATCAAGAAGTGGCAGTTTATTGAGGCCCTTCTCGAAGAAATCAGCTGGACGGGAGGCAACAAATTCTTCAAAGGCATTTTGTACTGTCTCTCGGGTAACGAATTTTTTTCCCGCCAAAAAGTTATCCAAATTCTGAAAAAAGTAGAAGTCTGTAGGCGCAAGGCCTGGTGAGTACGAAGGATGATGGAGAGCTTTCAGTCCACCAACGTCTGTTGTGCAGGATGAGGTTGGGTATTGTCGTGCAGGAGCAGCGAGGACGAGCGATTGACCAAAGCTGATTAGAGATGTGCGAGCTTCTCAATCATTGCGTTCAGTTCTTCACAGTACACATCTGCAGTAATACTCATCCCATTTGGTAAGAAGCTGTGACGAATCATACCGGAGCTAGGCGACCAAACAGTGCCATCACTATTCTAGGGGTAAGTTTACGTGTAGGACATTGTTTAGGAGCTAAACCAGAATCCCACCAACATGCTGAGTGCTTGCGATTGTCAAACAGAATCCATTTTTCGTAGCAGGTAACAATACAGTTCAAAATTCCTTCGTTTGTGTGCCTGTTAAGCAGTCCAAGACACATCTCGACACGTATTTCGAAATGGCGATAATTAAGTACGCTATTTGGCGAAAATGGACCGATATCGTTTTGATGCAAACGTCGAAAGAAGCTGCTAATTCAGCCGCAGATTGAGCATCATCAGCTTCCACAATCGCCTTTAATTCGTCATTGTCGACCAAAGTTTTCGCACGTGGTTCATTTTTCGGATCGAAATTTCCAGAAGGGAAGCGGGCAAAGCAATAACAGATGGTGCGTTCGTTTGTGGTATTCGCTCCGTAAACGTCGTTGATTATACGTGACGCTTGTGCCGCTGTCACGATGGACTCATATCCCGTAATTAATCGAAATTTTAACGTATCTATGATGACGAAAAAGATTCAAATGCGATGAAAACATAACGATAATCAATTAACGAGTGACTAAATTTGAAAAAAGTATTCCATGATTTTAAAATAAAATAATTTGAAATTAGAATTCTTAGCGAAAATAAAAATTTGTTTAGATTTGAAATGGCCAATACTGCAGAATGGAAATTTCGAAGGTAAAGACCTATTATATGGATATACAACCTGTGTAATCCTCTAGAGGTGACAGCATGACCGGCTCGATGTAACTCTCCCCTGGCGAGCATTGCACTGGCCAGTAGCCATATATCATCACCACTTGCGGTATTGTTTCCAGCTGCTGCCGCTGCATCTGCCCAGAAGAATGCACTTGTCCATTGTCCCTGCAATACCAACAAATCTGAATATTACTAATACACATGTAATTCCTCTTTTTTATCCTTTTTAATAAAGTGAAAATTGAATTAACAGTCCACTTGATGGTATGCGGCTACTGCAGTTCATGTTCCGTCTACAGTCATGCACTGTTCAGACCATAGCCAGACCAAAATTTTGGATGATAAGAATGAATTAAAATGCAAGCATGGCTTAAAAGAGTAGATACCTAATTTTTTTTCTTTCTTTGACAATTTTTCGATGTTTCCATCAAAATAACACAATACAAAGGTCAGTACACTAATATTTTCGTTATTGTATTATATACTATATCAAAATATAAAATATAGTTTGGAAAATACAATATTTTGTGCCTGGAAAATGATTTAAAAATGAATAATTCCTTAAACATACAGAAAAATAAAAAAAAGATAAGATTTATAAAGGACAGCTATAATTTTATTGTGGACGTTAAATCGCTATGAACAAGCTAGATTTTAAAATCTACTTTAAAAAAATAATTATTGTGAATTTAAAATTAAAGATTATTTTTATAAAGCTACAAAGTGAAAATTTATTTTTATATAAAAAACTAGCATGGGTGAACACAATTGCTTAGTTGCAAAGGAATTGCAAAATTTAATTGAGCTGAAAATCTTCCAGCATTTGATGGGAAACACTTTTGTTAATGGAATGCCACTTAAACTTTTCCCAAATTGCTGTGGTTATGTATTTATGTTTTGTTTAGTTTTGCCTATGTATGTTGTTAATCTGAATAATGGCAAAACTGATGACCCCCTATCTCATAAGATACAGTAGACGTGAGATTGATGTATTGAAACATAGTTAAAAACAGTTAAACTCATGTAACATAATGTATAGATATGCCACTCACAAAAAGCAGTTCTAACAATAATTATCAATCAAAGTGGAAAATTATCAATAGAAGATATGTGGTAATGAATAAATGTATATTATTATTATACTTTAGTCATAATCCAGCTAAATATTAAAGCTGGCTTTCCAATATGTTAAATTTAATGGATTATAAGAATATATATTCTCAATGGTCATATGTCAAAATAATAAGGAGTGCTACACAACTTTTTTTGAAAATGAGGCATAATATTAAAAAAAATTCATAGTGCGGACGTTAATTTGTTGAAAAAATGTAAAGGTTAATGTTTCTTTCTGTACTATTAGTTTCATTTTCAATTAATTACATTAAAAACCACAGATATTCACTGAAGTAGTAAAACTAGAAAGAGTTAAAGAGCAATGTTTTATGTATATTAATATAATACTCTAAAAACTGATCTACTTACATTTAAAACTAACTTCTCAATTAAATGACATTGTGAACCAAAAAAAACTAATTACATCTGATGAGCGGAAGGTTATTGGCCCTCATTGGTAGGTAAAGAAAAGTGTCAATAAAGATAGACCCGTGACCACTATCAGGATCCAGTAGATGCTAATTAAGACACTAAAAAAATTTTCTAAGCAAAGAATTAAAGATGAAAAATCCTTATCTATCCCAACCAAGTATATTTTTATGCAGTACAGCCATGCTGTAGTTATATTATGGTTGTAGCATGAATAAGTTAGCTCGACTGGGAAAGGACCACACTCTCACCAGCATAAATAACAGCTGAATATAGCTGTGTTTCATAAGGTGAGTGTAAAGAACCAGAAACCATTTTTACTGGAAACAAGGCATTCCATCGTTTCCCTCAGGGGTGACAACAATCTACATTTTATATCTTAATTGAGGAAGATAGACAGATGTCTATGGGCTACAGCATCCCCTAGCATCAAGTGGACTGAGCGTTCGTTTGTGACCCTTATTCTATAAAAGATATTACTACGGGTTATAAAAACGTTGGGTTGGGTTTGAAATTAAGTCACCTGAATTTGAGGATTCTGTCACTGTAGGAGGGTCAAGGGGGTCTATCTGAAGTACCCCTAAGCAATTTTTGCTCTCGGAGCAGTGTTGAAGTATTTTTTATAATTTTTTAATAATATTAGTAAATGTGAAATGGAACATACATGTAAATAAATTCTAACGTTTCTGACGTTGCATCTGTCAAAGTCATCTCAAAATGCGTAAAATGAATCACTAGGCCGGCTATTTTCTTGACAGTGACAAATATACTTAACATCATTCTGTTGTTTCTGAGTTTACGTGAATGTGCTCCCTAACATTTTATCTGCCTCCACCTGTTTTTTGCCGACTTCACTACCCCTCTGGATCATTTTTTACAAATGGTTGTAGCAATAAATTATGTCTATAATTTAAAGTAATAATAAAAGTTAACATTTTGGTGTTTTATTGAGTGTAAAAGCTAGCTAAGCGAGCTCGGGACTTAGGGCATCTCGACTCAGACAGGTTAGGTTAGAAGGGGATGACGGGATAGAGTGAGCAAGTGAAGCGAAAGAATAGACCCCGCTAAGGTAATATTAAATGTTAAAGTAATATTAGAATTTAATACTTAAAGCCAATGTCATCCTTTAAATCTGATACTAAACATTGACCTCATAAATGTGTAATGCCCATATCTAATAGGTTTGTGTAATTACGTTAATAGAAAAACAGGTTAGTAAGCTCAGACCCTAAGGCTCATACTGGCAATCATCGGTCTGTGACATAAATAAAAATGAATAAAAATTTATTTATAAAATTACCAATTCAGAATACTGCTGCACTAGAGAACGCATAAAGTCCACATTCAGACATTCTGAATTTCCTCTACCGGCAGAATCTACTTTGGCCATTGTTACTTAAAAAATAAATGTAAGCGAATTCTTTAATTTCAACGTAAGATTCAACGTAAACCTTAGCGAACATTAAGAAGAGTTTTGTTAAACACACATACAAATATAAGTTGACAAGTATGTTTTTAATAAAATAAATTATATTCAATAACATTCGCCCGGACCAGCCCGGACGGTTCAAAATCAACAAACAAATCGAAAATTCAAATATCAAAATTATAAATGTCAAAAACAAATTGACAAAACATAATGACATTAACATTTTTTATTAACTAACTTTACGGCTCTGGGTTATAGCCCTTCTGAGCCTGAAGTTACAATAATTAAAAATCTTTAAAAATCAGATATGTCATGTACGAAACATTCATCAAAAACTATAAGAAGAATTTTTCATCAACTAATAGACTTTGAAGGGTATCAGGAACTTTATCATTGTTAATATCTTGAATGGAATTAATGAGAAGTAATCTATTCAAACCAAATTGACATTGAAAAACCAGGATGTTTCAGGTCTCCATTCACGTCACTACAAAATAACGCGAAGCGGGGCTCCGTCGGCCGGGCTTTCCTCGACTTCCGCTACGTTGAGTGGCGTAGTGCTTCCCTCCCCCAACTCTCTCCCGTAGCGCAGTCGAGGTCAGCCCAGTCGACGGCCTACTTCTGCCCTGACCTGTCCGAGTCGGGATGTCCTAAGTCCCGAGCTCGCTCCGTTCGATCTTACACTCAATAAAACACCAAAATATTAACTTTAATAATTATTTCGGTTTTCTAGAGCGTTTGTGATAACATTTAAAGTCAGAAAACCATATAAAAACTTTAAATGAGATAAAAATTGAACAAACATTTTTCAATGTTTCTTTTTTTTTTAAATGTTTGTTTTTTTATGTAGATTATGAAAAAATATAACAATTTCATTTGATTATTAAAAAAAAGTTATGAATGGTTATGTTCGAACGTAGACAGAGAAACCTATAGACAAATTGACACCTTCTTTCATTTTCGCACACGAAAAAGATAGATTTATGCATACGTCTTGCATATAAATGAGACAGAGCGGTGTGATTGTTTGTCCCTCTCTCCGTGCCGTTTTTTTTTTTTGTTTTGCAAACTACACTTTGCTAAACAACTTTGACAGTTCGTAGCGATCTAAGGAGTTTACAAGTTGATTTAAGTAAGAAAAAAGTGTTTTACGAGTTTAAGATTGGTGAATCTTGTTCAGTTCAGTTCTTAGAACTGTAGCAGCCAGGCTAATCGGCAATAAATAATATATACCCTGCTGCTACCATAACACACAAGGCGAAGAAACCATTTATTTCCTAACTATCCCCGGCTACTGAGATACTGCGAGCTGCATATTGATGCGAGATAATTTGACGTATATATTTAACGTTCTAATAAAGAAACAAGAAACAGCCGCAAATATCATTCAGCGCCACATCGTCTTCACACGCCGCTATCGTTATGTATCCGTCGACCATTTTGAAGCCGTTTCTTCAACGCCGCAGCTTGCTTCTTCTTGCTGTTCCGAAGCTGTGTCCCACGCCGCCGCCGCTCGCCGACTACGCGCGCGCGCTTTTTTTTTTGCGCCCGAAGCAAATATGGGCAACCCTCCGGAAAGCGGGGGAGGGAGGCGGTGAATGCTCATAGCATACCCCGCAGCCGGCTGCGTGGTTATGTGGTGACTTTTACCCACTAAACACCGCCTTTTAGGAAATGGCTTAACGATCTGACTAGAGATCTCTAAGCCGTATACGAACGCGAACCCCCCTTGGCAGAAAGGAGGGCGCAAGCGGCGAAAAGCCGCTTAGAAGAGTGCCTAACTAAGGCAGATTAATGGATGTGTTATGTAGGCTCGGCCTGAGCCGCCAGGAGGCAGTTCAGGTCAGCCGAAAGCTTGTTAGGGGGGTCCGAGAGAGAGTTTCTCGGTCTGCGCACACTATAGCGAGTGTGGATAGGGGCTGCATAGGCAGCTGTCTCACGAATGAGATGATTTGGGTGGGACTCTGAGGCTTTGAAAAATCTCTCAGAGAGTGATTTAAGGAATTGCTGGATTGTTGGGATCTCTAAGTCTCGATGTAGGTCGGCATTACGGACATAATAGGGCGAGTTAGTGGCCCTACGACAGAATAGATTTTGAACTATTTGAAGTTCATTTATAGCTTTGGGCTTAGCATGTGCAAAAATGGGGGCCGCGTAGGTCATGACAGGTCGTATGTAGACCTTATATAGGGTTCGCTTGTTGCGGAGAGACATTTTACTGTGTCTGCCCAACATGCTGTTGAGCCTACCCATGTAAAAACGTTCGGTGCGAGTAACCTTCTTGATATGGGGCTCGAAAGTGAGCCTTGCATCAAGGGTGACGCCTAGGTATTTGGCTTTAGTTTGCCATGGGACAGGGGTTCCTAACATCCTGATTGGCGGAGTGGTGGTGAGACGACGTCGTTTATATTCGAAGCAAACGGCGGAGCTTTTCTCCGGGTTTATGTCGATACGCCATTTTTGGAACCAAGCTCCTAAGTCGCTTACTGACTTTTGAATCTTGTTCCGAATCTGTGGTAGTGAGTTGCCTTTGGAGTAAAGGGCTGTGTCATCTGCAAAGAGGGCTAGTTTGACACCATTCGACGGGATAGGGATGTCGTTGGTGAATAGTATGTATAGGAGGGGAGCAAGCACAGAGCCTTGAGGGACACCGGCTTTTATTTGACGGGTAGAGGATAGCGTGCCTTCGTGTCTAAAACGAAAGGTACGATCCTTCAGATAGGAGGCTACAAGGCGAACGAGACGGTCTGGGAGGCCTAAGTCGTACAGTTTGTAGATAAGGCCCTCGTGCCAGACTCTGTCGAATGCCTTGGCAATGTCAAAGAGCACGCGCGCCGGCCTGCACAACTTTTATAGCCCAGTCCAGCGACGTAGATACGAGAAGATAGACATAATAGATGTATTTTAATAATCTTTATTGGTCATAATGTATTATACGTACTGTAATTGGCTAGCCAAATAAAAATTGTTACTATTGGTTCACTAACAACGTAGCCGGACATATAAATTAGCATATATGTCCGGCTACATTGCTTGTATATATAGGCAGGGTTGACGATAAAATATATTCTCATTCAATACTCCACATTCCATTCTCCATTCGGCTGTACATAAAATAGTAGTTTCATTTCTCCACAACTAAACCTCTCGGAGTCCGTTAATAGTGGAGCAAATCCCCACTATTACAGAACAATTAAAATTTTTATCTAAATATGTTTCAAAGTCATAAAGATTATTGTATAACCTAAAACTACGCTATCGTCCTTTCTCACTCGAGGCCGTGCTAATTATTAGTCTATAGGTTTCTCTGTCTACGTGTTCGAAGAAGTGCATTTATGTCGTAAAACTATATGAAATCTTGAGGTGAGATATTTTCCATATTTTTTCCATAAATCCGCCAAAAAGACGAAGATATAAAAAAATCATAGAAATCGGATGATTTTTCGATTTTCTACGGCGAAAGTATTAAATTACCTAACATTTTTCTCTACTTTATTAGGCTTGTTTATTAAGTTTCTTATATTGTATATAATGTAATTTTTCTTGTAATGCATTTTGTTAGTTGCAATAGCTAATATAACACTTTTGAATCAGTTACAATTAGAAACTGTGAATTCGCAATGTTTTGTATGTACAATAAAGCCACTGACCTCTATATATACAAGTACGCTGGACTGGCTATACCATAGAAAATGACTGTGCCAATTTGAAGCGCCGCTAAAGGATGTCTTGAAAAATAAAATTGACATAATATGCCAAAGTCTGTTGTCATATTTAAATTGTCTTATTTAATAAATCTGTATTTTGAACTTTTAAACTAAAAACCGAAAGTATTTTATGTTATTTGAATGTATATAATATTAGTTACACAATAAGAATTATTTTTATTAATAATGAGAGTGTGCGTAATCGTGCGTAAGTGCGTAAAACACGTTACCAAAAAGGAAGTAGTATACATTTCACAAGTAAGTGAATTTGTAGCAAATATGAAACAAATTAAAACTATTTGATAAGTACTTACAAATTTGTTACTAATCTTAATATCATATATACCAACATTTTTGGATGTATATTACTGCGTTTTGATAAACAATAAAATTCAATAGGGTTGTCGAGTTCCTTGTCTATAATACTTATCGATGTTCTTTCCTACCCATATCTGTTAACAAACAAAGTCGCCAACAACAGACGATTATCAAATGTTTATTAATTAACAGGTTTCCAAGTGAACCTAGATTAAAATTATGGCTTAAAAGCATAAATATTGTGAATTGGCGTCCGAAACAAAATGATCATATTTGTTCTGAACATTTCACAGACGACTGTTTTATTAGACGTGAGAACTGCACCACTTTGAAAAAGTGCAGTATACCGACAATATTTTCTGGTAGTACCAGTACGTATAAAAGTATCAGATTATTATTTCGAATGTTTTTTTTATTTCTTCTTTCCTCATTTTTCACCAAACTCAAGGGCCATAGCCAAGTGTCGAAAGGTCACCTGATGATGTCGAGCCACGTTGTATGTGTTTTAGTGGGCTACGACTAGAGGAGATCCCTCTCCCTGTACCGCTGTAGTCGGAGTGGAGTCGTAAGGGAAGAGGAGTGTTGGTATGGCGATTGGCAATGCGCCACTCGACTATTTGGTGAGGCTGCACCACTTAATGCTTCCAAGTGATAGTTTTCCCTGGCTCCATTCACATATCGGGCTCGGGGAGTCCATAGTTCAGGTGGAGTTAGAGGACGCGAAGGGCAGCGTGGCTTGTTTCTGGTGCGCCTTATCTGAGAATGAAAATGGGGGCAGAAGTCAGCAACTAAGGAGGGGCTGCCATTGGGCGGCATTATTTACACTTACGGCAAATTATGTGGACCTCATATCTTGGATTGCGCTTTATACAGTTGTATTTTGGTTTAAGTTGGTTTACTCGTTTGAATAAATAAACTCTACCACCACTACCAACTCTGGAGTAACAATAGCCAGTATTGGCTTCTCTACGTTTGTGTTACAAAACGCAAAATGAAGTTATCTTGGTGTAAGACCAAAGAGTAAATTATTCGAGGGTTAGTTACTCTGGTTTAACATAGTATTTGGTCGAATCCATACTTAATACACAGTTAAATAATTTTAAATAATGTTATGGTATTCTTTAATATAATGTTGTCTTTAGTTCTTGGACAATGTCATCCGAAGAGCTCGTATCTCTATAAATGTTTCCTTGGTTTAAGATCTTTGTAGAATATTTAGAGACGATACCGGGAGACCCGACGGTATGGGTTTGGTTGCTTGAGAGAAAGAGAGAGAGAGAGAGAGATAAAGCTTTAGTGTGGGATACTACTTGTATATATAGAGGTCAGTGATTATAGCTAAGTAGATATGTACAATACAGAGAAGTAATAATAGATAGAACATTCAGCTGTGAAAATAAATTGTGAATTTTAAAAATTTTAGATATTTTCTTTTGCGAATCATAAAATGCTGAAGTTGTGTACTCTTCAGATTTTGATCCATCTGTATAAATTGTAAAAATAAAAAAATAAATTGCCAATGATTATTAATCATTATCAGTTAGATATCTTAACATTTCCATTTGAGAATTCACTTTTTCTTGACATAATAATAATAATAATTCTGACATGATAATAATTCTGACATGACTGACATGTGGGGTGGTCTGCCGACCGAAATTATTCCTGTAGTCGTCTCTGCAAACGGGCTAATCCCAGTCAGCCTCTCGGGTCATCTGAGGCGACTGGGACTACGTGGCGGACCGCTCCGGGCTCAAATGCAGAAGGCGGTGCTCCTCGATACCGCTCGCATCGTCCGCCGGTTTCTTTCCCTTTCCCCCTAACCCTCGGCCGTTTGGTCTCCCCTGCCGAGGGCCTCCATCTGGTTGGGCTTTTATTTATTTATGTATTTTTATATTTATTTTATGTTATTGATATATATGTATATTTATCTTTTCATTTTCATTTATAATTATATATTTATAGAACCCAACCAGATGAGAAAACTATATAGATACCCCAATAATAATAATAAAAGGCGTAGGGAAGTGACGACCCCATCGCCCGCTGACGTAACAGTTATGTGACAAAACTACTACGTCGGCGCAGTCAGTCAGCGCCCTGCCAAGAGGTGTGAGTGCCGTGCCTAGACAAAATTGTGGGTGCAAAGGCCCGTTTGTGCATATGACCGAACCACGAAACGGTGCCGGGCTTGGGCGTCTCCCGTTATTTGGCACCCATAAATGAATGATGGTACAAAGAGAAACGCGCATAAGGTCGCTGCCTGGGGGTCGCCGGGAGCGTCTGGAGCTGGCGCTGGACGCGACAGCATGCGGGCCGCCAGCCGAGCGCGAGGAGCTGTACGATCACCTAGCAGCCCTCCGCATCCATCATCCCCACCAGAAGGCTTGGTGTCGGCTGGGTCTTCTCGGACTCAGCAAGCGGCACCCGCCGCTGGTGGAGCACGTCGCATGCGTTGGTCACAAACAATGAACGCAAACGCACTGCGGGCGTACTTTAGGGCAAAAGGGGAAGAAACCGGATGTTTGGCATATCGGGCTCGGATGCATCGCTTTTTTGCAGAGCTGGAGCCATCTCTATCCGTCACTGAGCAAAACCTGGCAGACCGAGTTCGGTACATCGTGCGCTCCAACATATTTGGTGACGCCGAACTACGACTACGACGTGAGGCTGTTCCCTTGTCGGATGGAAATGCTACGGCTAGGAATGCGGCGCCACTAATTGCGCAGCAAACTGCAAATGTGGACGCTGCCGTCAATATTCCATTTGTGGTTGATTCAGACGATGATGGAATAGTCCCCCACGAACTAGAGAAAATGAGGAGTATATTGGAAGAGTCGATGCTGGAAACGCGCAGCATGCCTCTCGAAAATCGACCGCGACTTCCCCGCATACCCCTTAGCAAGCGAAAACGGGCTGTCGTGCGGGCTCTTAACCCAATGCTGGTGACCTATTTGGAAGCCAGCCGGGACCTTTGCGAGACGGACTCAATTCTTTTTGGCGCCGCACTGGCAGTATGCCGTATTATTGGCGCCAAACTTCCCACGGCTGGACGTGCTCCTCGACAAAGTAGCGCCATCCCAGCCTGGAAAAAGAGAATTTAGGACCGTACCGTAAAGGCAAGCCTTTATCCTTATCGGTAGACTGAGAAGCTTCAGGTCGGGTAATAATAGACCGAGAGTTGTGCGCACCGTTAAAATGGCGTTTGCTGGGACAAATATTAGTTTGTCCCAGCCGGATATCACGCAGAAACTAACGGAGCGCATAGATGACCTGAAGCAAAAAATCGCTGCTTGGGGGAAGCGGATTCGACGATTTAGCGAGAGGTCAAGGCGGTTCAACCAGAATCGTCTCTTTCAGAGTGATCAGAAGAGGCTCTATAAATCATTGGAGCGACTAGAGGTATGTGGAGCGGGCCCAGGACCGGATCAGGCTGACACTGTCGCATTTTGGCGTGGCCTGTGGTCAGAACCCGTAAACCACAACGAGGGCCCATGGATGGAAGTTGTGGCGAGCCAGAGTGCGAGTGTTACGCCTATGGACCCCGTCACCATAACGCCAGAAGACGTGGCTGAGGTGGTCCGTAGGGCCCCGAACTGGAAAAGTCCGGGGCTCGACGGACTGCATCATTACTGGCTGAAGGGGTTTGTAGTGCGTCACGCTGTGCTCGCCCGACAGTTCCAAGAGGCTCTTAACCAGAAGTCGCTCCCGAGCCTCTTCACTACTGGGATCACTCATTTGGTTCCTAAAGATCAGGTACCACAGATCCGAGCAAATACCGACCCATCACGTGTCTACCCATCATATATAAGTCACTGACATCCATTTTGAGCGCGAGAATCACTCGTCACCTGGAGTTAAATCAGGTGATGTCACGCGCTCAAAATGGATGTCGGGGCGGTGGTTATGGAACCAAGGAACCACTCCTCATTGACGCGGTCATTGGCAAAGTGGTGAAACACAACCGTCGGAACTTCTCCGCCGCCTGGATAGACTACAGAAAGCCATTCGATTCGGTGCCCCATACATGGCTAAAGAGAGTGCTCGAGCTGTACAAGATAGACTGTACAGTTAGAGACTTCCTCGAGCAGTGTATGGGGCAGTGGAGCGGATGATGGCTGCGGAGAACCACATAAGGATAAGAAGGGGTTTCTTCCAGGGCGATTGTCTGAGTCCAATCTGGTTCTGCCTCTCTCTGAACCCTCTCAGTACCTTACTGGAGGGCTCCGGGAGAGGATTTCAGCTACGGAAGGGAGGAACAAAAGTGACCCACCTTTTCTATATGGATGACCTCAAGTTATTCGCCTCCAGTCGTTCCCATCTTATGGAATTGCTAAACATCACTTGTGAATTTAGCAATTCTATTGGAATGGAGCTGGGGACGGATAATTGTGCGGTCCTTCATGTTGAAAGGGGAAGGGTTGCTAACTCTGACGGCATAGATTTATATAGATAAATATCTATAAATATAGCCCGTCAACTTAAGGACCCTTGCCGAGGCTGAAACATACCTACACCTGGGTATGTCACAGAACATCGGTATCGATGAGGCTGGTATGAAACAGTCAGTTTGCGACATGTTTTATGCACGCTTGACCAAAGTGCTTAACAGCCTTTTGTCCGGTGTGAATAAGACACACGCATATAACGGTTGGGTCATGCCTGTCCTCATATATACCTTTGGCATACTCAGGTGGACTCAGACCGAACTTAACGCCCTGGATAGAAAAGTCCGCACTACCATGACGTCTCATAGGATGCATCATCCGAGATCATCGGTAATGAGGCTGTACTTGCTGCGAAAGCATGGTGGACGTGGTTTTCTGAGCGCGCTCACCATGCATAATCGCGAAGTGTGCAGCCTCCGTCATTACTTCTTGGCGAGATCAGATGATCCATTCTATAATGACGTCATTTGTAGTGATAAAGGGCTTAACCCTCTATCTTTAGCCCACGAGCAATGGCAGGACCCAGCAGTGCTTAGCATTTCTGACAGGGAGACCGTATGGAAGGAGAAGGAGCTCTACGGGAGGTACTACAGGGCTCTTCATGAGCCCTTCGTAGATACAGTCGCCTCCCTCAACTGGCTAAGTTTCGGTGACCTCTTCGGGGAAAACGAGGGTTTTGTCTGTGCAATACAGGATCAGGTTATTAAGACCAACAACTATCGAAGATACATCCTAAAGGATGGCACCGTCGACGTCTGTCGAGCTTGTCACCATCCCCGTGAGTCGCTTAGGCATGTCATCTCCGGTTGTTCGGCGCTTTCTAACTCTGAGTACTTGCACAGGCACAACCTAGTAGCCAGAATTCTACACCAGGAGCTCGCTCTGAAATACGGTCTCGTGGACCGGAAATTGCCATATTACAAGTACTTTCCGGAAGCCGTGCTCGAAAATGACCGCGCCAGGCTCTACTGGGACCGGGCCATCATCACAGACAGGACTTTTCTTGCGAATAAGCCTGATATTGTGCTGATGGACCGGGCACAGTCAAGGATATATTTGGTCGATATTACCATCACGTATGACGAGAACCTCGTGAAAGCCGAAACAGATAAGCAATCAAAATATCTGGACCTGGCTCACGAGGTGACCGACATGTGGGGTGGTCTGCCGACCGAAATTATTCCTGTAGGTCGTCTCTGCGAATGGGCTAATCTCAGTTAGCCTCTCTGGTCATCTGAGGCGACTGGGACTCCGTGACGGACCGCTCCGGGCTCAAATGCAGAAGGCGGTGCTCCTTGATACTGCCCGCATCGTTTGCCAGTTTCTTTCCCTTTCCCCCTAAACCTCGGCCGTTTGTTCTCCCCTGCCGAGGGCTTCCATCTGGTTGGGCTTTTATTTATTTATGTATTTTTGTATTTATTTTATTTTATTGATATGTATATTTATCTTTTTATTTTCATTTATAATTATATATTTATAGATCCCAACCAGATGAGAAAACTATATAGATACCCCCCAATAATAATAATAGCCTTTTATTCCTAAACATAGGGTTACAAGAGGTCCCTAAGTTCGGTGTGCCTTTTGGCATAGGCGTCCTCCAATTCCTTCCAATAGTTCCTGTCCCTTGCTACTCTCAGCCAGATTGGTCCCGCTGTCTGTTTCAAGTCGTCTTCCCATCTCCTGACTTGACGACCCCTGCCTATTTTGCCATCTCTTGGTTGCCAGAAAGTGACTTGCTTGCTCCATTTTTTAATTTGGTGGCGTAGCAAATGTCCAGCCCATCTCCATTTTTGGACGTCTATCCGGGTAAGAACGTCTGTGAGTTTGTTCTTGTTCTAATGTCTACGTTCCTGACTCTGTCTTTGATTTTTAACCTTAGCATGCTTCTTTGCATGGCACTTTGGCATTTTGTTAGCCTTTCCCTATGGTGAAGTGTTGTTGACCAAGTTTCGCAGCCATAAGTAAGAACGGGTAGAATGCAGGTCTCGAATGTTTTCTTTTTTATGTGTTTGCCTAGATCCTTACTTTTCACTATTTCCTTCAGTGACCAGTATTTTCTCCATCCTTGGGCTATTCGCCTGTTTATTTCCTTTGTCATTTCATCTGAAGGGGATATTATCTGTCCTAAGTAAATATATTCTTTGACATATTGTATCTAGTTGCCATCTACCATAACGTCTATTTCCCTTGAGTTTGACATTAATTTTGTTTTACTGGCATTGATTTCCAGACCAACTCCCCTTCTTATATTTGCTAGGCTCTGAATCATTTGTTCTATTGCTGCTGGATTGTCTTCAAGAAGCACCAGATCATCGGCAAATCTTAGATTGTTTAGGCGTGCTCCATTAATGTTCAGACCTAGGTGGTCCCAGTTTAGCTGTCTAAAGATGTGCTCGAGTACGACGTTAAATAGTGCAGGGAAGAGAGGATCGCCTTGCCGCACGCCCTTTTTGATAGGAAATGGTTCTCCTGTTGATTCTAGTTTAATACTGGCCTGCTAGAGTTGTATATACTCTTAAGTATTTCTATATAGTTGCTCTGGGCCCCTTGTTGTTCAAGGCTCCGCCATATGTATTTGAGTAATCTATGAACGCCAGGTAGATTTGTTTATTGTATTCGTTATACTTCTGTATCAACTTTTTTATTGTGTGAATGTGATCTATTTTGCTGAAGTCTTTTCTGAATCCTGCCTGCTCTACGGGTTGGCTTTCATTGAGTGTTAATGATATTCTTTCCAGGATCACTTTAGCAAACACTTTATATATATTTGATATAATAAAAATCGGCCTATAGTTTCCAATCTAGTCTCTGTGGCCTTTTTTATGTAGTAGAATTATGTGACACTCGGTCTATTATTCTGGAATTTGCCTTGTTTGTAAGATTTCATTGAAAAGTTTTGCCAGCACGGGACTGATTTCCTCTAAGGATCCCTTGAGCATTTCATTAGGTATCTTGTCCGGCCCTGGGGCTTTCTCGAGTTTTTGGGATTTTATTGCCTTGATTACCTCTGATGTAAGGATTTCTGGCACTTCATCTACTTTGTTTTCTTTTACTTCGTTTACTTCCGGAATTGTGGCCATCCCTGAATCGAAATTATCAGAATACAATAGGCGGTAATATTCCGTAGCTAGTTTTTGTATTGAGAGTCGATTAGTTAAGTAAGTTTCGCGTTGCTTTAGTTTCGCTATCCATTCTTTCCCATGTTCGCTTATTGTTTTATAACCTTTTTTGTTCCTCCTGTTCTTTTTATATTTTCTTCCAAAACTCTATTTCTTTTCTCCTTACGGTCTTCTCTCATATTCTCCTTAATTTCCTTGCTAAGGGTTGCAATTTTTTGGCGTCTTTCTTTGTCCTCTTTATTTGATATTAGTGTTCTTCTTTCGTCTAATAGTTAGTCTTTTAACTTAAATAGCTTTATTTGCTTTTGGGTTTGCTAACTAGCATCTCTTTCAATTTGTTTTGTAATCTCCTGTATTTAAATCCCAGTTTCTGCGTCGTAGGTAATAATTTCATTGAGTGATTCTGTTGTGCGGGAATTAGTGGAATGATTGCATACTGATATTTGATACAGCTTATTATTGTTTACTAGGTTTTTCCTGGATATTTTGGGTTGGTTTAGGTTTAGGCAGCTTCTTACCATACGGTGGTCTGTGTTAAAGTTGAGGTTTTTAACTATGTTGGTATCTGTTCACGCACTTGCTTTGTTGGTTATAATAAAGTCAATCTCAGTTTTGAATTTTGAACTTGGGAGGACCACGTCCATTTGCTTTTAGTTTTTTTGTTAAAACAAGAGTTCATTAAAATAAGGTTATTTTCCATCATGAATTCTACTAATTTCTGTCCATTTTGGCTTCTTTTGCCATGCCCAAACTTCCCGATTGAGGATTCTTCTCCAGTTTGCCTTTTTCCAACCCGCGCGTTAAAGTCGCCCATAATTATTATGTTGTTGTTGTAATGCGGTTTTATTGCTTCTGAGATACTCTCATAGAAATATTCTATTTCTGATTTCCCCGCTTGTTCTGTTGGGGCGTATATTTGAAAGATGGCCCAGTTTTTCTTGTACCCCGGAAATTTTAAATGAACTTCAGCAATTCTGTCAGCAACTCCTTCAAATCCCATAATGTTCTTCTTCAGTTGATGAGGAAACCTACTACTTTTTGTCCGGTGTGTTCTCCTTTGTGAAACATGATATAGTCGTTCCTCTCTTCTATCCCTTCTCCTGGCCGTCTCATCTCGCTGATGCCAATTATGTCCCATTTTATGTCGGATATGGCTATTTTTAGTTCTTTTAGGGCCTAAAATCAT